TAGTGACATTGATATATTCTTATTGGAAATAAACAACAAAGAGACACAATTCCGATCATGAATGTGCTCTTTTAATGTCATATAATCATCAAAAATCTTCATTACTAATCTATAATAAATTTTGGCCGTTTTAATTTTTTCTTTGGCCGTTTTGCCATTGACATTTTGACCGATTTGCCTTTTTGGGGGCCGTTGCTCGTATATTGACCATGGTCGTTCTTTAGTTTGTCCTTTTTTACTACAAATCAATTTGCAAAGCAAACAAAGAGATCAACAGAGTAGCCAGTGCATCAGTGAAAAACAAGTGCATTAACCAACAACTCCGGCCTTGGCGCACTAAGAATTATACAGCCTTTGTGTGTGTATTCAGTGCAAGAGCGGTAGAGGAGGGATGCATTTTGCGATCTGCCAGACCGTGTGTAGTACTCGTATTCTTTCTGACAGTGTTGTAATAAGTTTCACATAGTATGCCCTGTGACCATTTAAACCGAATGTACAAATGTGTAGTATGATTAAAGCCTCACTGCGTTCTCTGGATCCGCGTGTAAACAGGAATATGTCACGAAGACGTGCAATACAGGTTAACCAACTGTAACACTTTCTGGTGCATAACGCTAGGCTGTTTATCAAATATAATAAATAGCTATGCTGTTGCGAACTGGTTCAAGGTTATATATAGCCACAGGATTAATCCTCCGCTTTATAATATGTCCGTCCGTCCGTCCGTCCGTCCGTCCGTCCGTCTGTCTGTCCGTCCGTAATCACTTCCCTTTCCGGGGCAGAACTAAAAAAACATTCAGTATCTGATCAAAACTTGGCAAATCTATCAGTCATATACTGAAGTTGTACCTTTGGCTATTATAAGGAATTTTAGAATTTTTTATTTTTTAAGTTTCCATGGCAACAAGTTGTAATTGGGTTCTATAAAGGTGGTGTTCATTTCCGGAGCGTAGTTTAAAAACTGTTGAATACTTTCTCACAAAACTTAACATTTCTACCAGGCACATACTGAACTGGTGCCTTTTGCTATTTAGGATTTTTTTATTTTTTTTATTTTTACGTTTCCATGGTAACAAGTTGGACTCAAGTTTTAATATAGGGTGGTTTCACTTATGGAGTATAACAAATAAACTGTTAAATATTTCCTTGCCAAACATTGCATGTCTACATATAAAGTACATGAACTGGTGGCATTTGATATTAAGGAGTTTTAGAAATGTTTATTTTAGAATTTCCATTGCAGCTATTTTGACATGGGCTAAGAGAAATGTTGGGTCAGTTACCTGGTTTTGGACCATAACGTGTTACAATGGGCGGGGGACTTAGATGACTTCGTTGACTATAAGCTTGTTTAGTTATTGTTTCTTGTAATTTGTCATTTGTTTGCATAAAAAACACAGAAACACACTTGTCTTACTTTCCAATTCATATGGATGCGACCATGGTGGATCTTTTGTGGGTAAATAATGTATGCTTCTTCAAAAACATTCAACTCTTGACTCATTACATACAGAATTGCACATTTACTTGTGGTTACTTTACAAACAACTGCCGGGGGATATGTCATCTTTCTGATGACTCTTGTTACCCGCGTGGTGAAGATACAGGTGGTAAGATACTATATCCGTACGTCACCCACGTGTCGTACAAGGTTGACCTCGTTTTATTCGTTTTGAATGGATAATCATTACCTCGAGCTCTGTCACACCGGGACTACTTTTTTCATTCATATAAAATCGCGAGACGTCTTCTATTTGCAACTACAAAGCAGAACTGAAGCAATCGCATGAGAGCGAGAGATTTACAAACACTTTATAAATCAAACAACATAGTCACACGCATCAAATTCAGTTTGCATTCTATTTTAGTTGTGCATAGAGCTTCCACAGACATTACATAATCGAGTTATATCCATTTACAATGTACGACTACCGATCAATAACTCGTCCCCATGAGCGTGACGCATCCGACCACTTTCGCATTTTTCAATTTGATTTAACGTAAAAGAATAAGCGTGGTGAAATGAAGTCAGTTTAAACTATCTGGACAGATATCTAGACTTACTTGGGATGGTCCGGTTGTGCCATCAGTGTCCCCTTCGAAGCGTATTTTGTGGCACTGTTTCGGGAGTTGTTTGTTCACGACTGCACAACCAGATCACTCAAAGTGACCATTTCCGATACAAATCATTTGAAAACTCCGTAGAAGTGTGCCTGAATTCTGATTATGTCCCAAAATATACCAAATGTGAACAAAAACATCGATGCTTATGATATCAATCACTGGATTGTCTGGTCCAGACTCGATTATTTACAGACCGCCGTCATATAGCTGGACTATTGCTGAGTGTGGCGTTAAACAACAAACCAACCAACCATATCTTTGCATGCAAAATGTCTGAAGTAAGAATCACGCACGTACATGTATCTACGTTGAAAGCGGACATATACCACTGTATTTAATACTAGTCTTCTGCTATCTATTCTCTAAAACCTGTTGTAAATTAATGTACAAACGTTCCTCTAATGGAATATATAAAGGTGAATGTCACTGTACCACTGTATCTTTGTCAATATGATGGAATTCATCAGCACTGTTTGATGATGAAGATGGCCATTGATAGGCTTCCGAGAAGATGTAAAACCGAATAGCATGTATCACGCTTGAGTTTGATAACTTTACATCTTTTGTATTTGAGTTTGATAACTTTACATCTTTTGTATTTGAGTTTGATAACTTTACATCTTTTGTATTTGAGTTTGATAACTTTACATCTTTTGTATTTGAGTTTGATAACTTTACATCTTTTGTATTTGAGTTTGATAACTTTACATCTTTTGTATTTGAGTTTGCTTTTCTGCCTTTTACTGTACCATTTAAAATTTGCTTCTGTGAATAAACATAATTGAAGTAAACAACATACATTGTATTTTCTGAGGCGCATATTAGTACTCAAATTGCCATGGCGTGAGTGAGAGAGTGAGTTGGGTTAAACGTCGCTTTTATTCAGTATTCCAGTTATATCACGGCGTGTCAACTTAATGTGGGGGAAAAGCCTGATGTGATGCAGGTCTCAGACGTTTACCACTTCGGTAAAACACGAGCACGGGTATAGTGGAGACAAATCTGGAGACATAATTGGGATGAACCGGGATTCGAACCCACAATCATATGTTTCTGGAGTGCTCAAGGGACGCAACTCTGCACAGAGAATTGTGCCGCATGGGACGACTGGTCAACCCGTGACCCCGTATTGGTATAGAATATGTACTGATCGATAACAAGTTAATTGTTAATAAGAATGTCCGACTCGGTGCAAATCCTTGTTTAGAACATGGTATGTGACAAGGGCGCTGTCTCCAGGACATCAGGTCATAGGGGGCAGGTTGGTTGGTTGGTTTGTTGTTAACGCCGCACTCAGCAATATTCCAGCTATATGACGTCGGTCTGTAAATAATCGAGTCTGGACCAGACAATCCAGTGATCGATATCATGAGCATCGATCCACGCAATTGGGATCGATGACAGTCATCAACCAAGTCAGCGAGCCTGACCACCCGATCCCGTTAGTCGCCTTTTACGACAAGCATAGTCGCCTTTTACGGCAAGCCTGGGTTGCTGAAGACCTATTCTACCCCAGTCTTCACGGGTCCATAGGGGGCAGGATAACACAGACATCCACTTCCGGGAAACTTACAACACATTTTGACGTCTACGAAACCTCCCTGACGTCATCTGTTGCATGGCGGTTCCGAAAGATGACCTCCAATGATCTGCGGTCAACACCACTCGATGACAGAAGTACACGGCTATTCTGGTGGGGGTTAAACAACCAGACAATAACCTTTAATTTGCTCAATCAAACTGCCGGGAAAAGAAAGTATACTCGCGAATATTGGATGTGACCGTTACAAAACGTTACTAGGTTTGTTTGTTGTTTAACGCCGCACTCAGCAATATTCCAGCTAGGTGACGAGGGTCTGTAAATAATCGAGTCTGGACAAGACAATCTAGTGATTGACATCAGAAGCATCGATCTATGCAATTTGGTTACGATGACATGCATCAACCAAATCAACGAGTCTGACCACCCGATCCCGTTAGTCGCCTCTTACGACAAGCTTAGGCGCCTTTTATGGCAAGTATGGGTTGCTGAAGACCTAGTCTACCCCGGATCTTCACAGGTCGTTACTAGGTAGAAACCTTGTTTCAGCCATCAAACATGGATGTATACTTTCTTTCGCCCGGCAGTTAAGGTATTTACACCGTAATAACAATCTGGCATCTGCTGAAGTAGTTATTTATTTGACCCGTGAAGATCCGGGGTAGAATAGGTCTTCAGCAACCCATGCTTGCCGTAAAAGGCGACTATGCTTGTCGTAAAAGGCGACTAACGGGATCGGGTGGTCAGGCTCGCTGACTTGGTTGATGCATGTCATTGATCCCAATTGCGTGGATCGATGTTCATGATGTAAATCACTGCATTGTCTGGTCCAGACTCGATTATTTACAGACCGCCGTCATATAGCTGGAATATTGCTGAGTGCGGCGTTAAACAACAAACCAAACCAGTTATGTGTTTGTTACTAACGCCGCACACAGAAATACACCAGCAGATGAAGATCATTTACAGAACGCCGTCACATAACTGGAATACTGCTGAGTGTGGCGTTAAATGACAGAGAAACACACACAACTGCGGCATACAAGAACACTCATTATATCACTGAGTTGTTATGACAAAGGGCGGTCGGGTAGCCTAGTGGTTAAAGCGTTCGCTCGTCACGCCGAAGACCCGGGCTCGATTCCCGACATGGGTACAATGTGTGAAACCCATTTCTGGTGTCCCCCGCCGTGATATTGCTGGAATATTGCTAAAAGCGGCGTAAAACCGTACTCACTCGCTGTTATGACAAACCACCTAGTTAACGGTCACTCCCTTGGGTATTGCAGGGTGGTGACCTCTTGGGCGAGATAATTCACACAATGTCCGCCGCCGGCTCACGTGTCTTCACAGATAAGGGAAGGTCAAAGCCTAGTCTTATCGAGGCACCATGTTGGCTCTACTGGCAGGTAGCTTAGTCAAATTTCTTTTTTACATTTTCTTAACGTCTTCTGTAGCGACATATTTATTCCTCTGCGCGTCGAATATAGACGAAGACATTTTGTAATTTCATGTTCTACACGTATATCTCCGACAGGCAACAGCGACCTCGGTGGCGTGGTCTTAAATTCATTGGCTTGTAGTGTCGAAGACCGGGTTCGATTTCCAAGGCTGGTGAAATGTCTTAAGCCCATTTCTTGTGTACGCCAGTAATTATATTGCTGAACTATTTCTAAACGCGGCGTAAAACCTTTCTTACATTCTTGCTTTGATGTGCCCCGTGAAGTGCAGTAACGTCACATGTTGGTTTGTTTGTTTGTTGTTTAACGCCGCCCCCAGCAATATTTCAGCTATATGACGGCGGTCTGTAAATGACCGAGTCTGGACCAGACAATCCAGTGACTGACATCATGAGCATCGATCCACGCGACTGGGATACGATGACATGCATCAACCAAGTCAGCGAGACAGACCACCCGATCCCCTTAGTCGCCTCTGACGGCAAGCGTGGGTTGCTGAAGACCTATTCTACCCCGGATTGTCACGGGTCACGTCACCCTGTACATTATGAGTTACTTTATAGCATGTCGACATGGAATTTGTATAGTTTTTGTTAGGCTACTTGCACGGCTTTGTTAAGATATGGTTGAGGCACCTGCTGAGTATAGTGTGTCGGACCCCTACCTTCATATACCTGGAACAGTGCTAAATAGCCCAACTCACTCACTCACTCACTCACTCACTCACTCACTCACTCTTAGATAACCATCAAGGAGAACCAATTCTGGACATTGAATCTGGTAAGATTTAGTCGACTCTCGCGTCTTGCATCAATACCATTTATTATTTCTTTCATTGTTTTGTTGGGATAAATGTGATGTTGGATGGGGACTTATGAGAAGGAAAGAAATAGAGTAGGAATTGAATCGGTTTGTTTGGGGACATTTTATTTTGGGGAGTTAAGTTAGAGGGGTGGAAATAAGATCACGTTTAAGATAAATGATGTGGGTTTGAACAGGATGAGATGGGAAGGGAAGTGGGAAACGTATGAAGGTTATGACAAAGCACATGGAGGTTTTGCCCCTTATTTGTGTTAGGAATTAAACTTTAAATAAATCTTCATTCCTGCATTTTTTGTTTTTCAATAATTAGAATTGATAAACGGGCCAGAACATCTAGGCAAAGAATACTGCACAGGGAGAAGAGAGTGAGTTTTGGCTTTACGCCGCTTTTAGCAATATTCCAGCAATATCACGGCGGAGGACACCAGAATTGGGCTTCACACATTGTACCCATGTCGGGAATCGAACCCGGGTCTACGGCGTGACGAGCGAACGCTTTCACCACTTGGCTACCCGACCGCCCCGGGAGAAGAAAACACGACTCAAAACACTGCAGTTGGTTGGTTGGTTTGTTGTTTCACGCCGCACTCAGCAATATTCAAGCTATATGACGGCGGTCTATAAATAGTTCAACCTGGACCTGATAATTCAGTGATTAACATCATAAGTACCCATGGGGATACGATGCCTCGCACTCGTTTTGTTTGTTTGTTGTTTAACGCCCACTCGGTATTATTTGTGCGATATGACAGCGGCTGGTAAATAATGGGACAATTCAGTGATTGACATCAAGAGCATCGAACACGGAGCTGATATACGATGACATGCGTAAACCATGTCAACGATCCTGAACACCAGATCCTGCTCACAATCCCAATCACTGGATTGTCTCGCCTTCATATTGGCGGGATATTGCTGACTGGCGTCAAACAGCAAACAAAAAAATAAATAATATGTCGCCTTTTTTTCGTTGGACATGGCGCTTCCACCGTCATACATATCAAATGTGTTTCCGTCTCTGTCCAATATAGGGGGCACGGGTGGCCCAGTCGTCTATGGCGCCGCGATTCGCTGTGCAGAGTTGCGTCCCTTGGGCACGCCAGAAACCTATGATTGTGGGTTCGAATCCCGGTTCGCCCCGATTATAATTCTAGGTTTGTCAGCACCATACCCGTGCTCGTGGGTTTCACCGAAGTGGTAAACGTCTGAGACCTGTATCACTTCGGGCTTTCCTCCCACATTAAGCTGACACGCCGCGATATAACTGGAATATTGTTAAAAGCGGCGTTAAACCCAACTCACTCACTTACTCTGTCCAATATATGTCTTGTGTTTCAGTTACCCTTGCCCTTGTCTGCATATCACACGGAGAAGGTACAGTGGAAATACTACTTTGGGTACATGTATGTGAGGTGAGGTGAAATGGGGTTTAAGGTCGCGTCCAAGGTTATTGCACTTACATAGCGACGAGCATGCACGTGGGTGTGTGTGTGTGGCTGCTTGTACTAGTCCGGTCTGATGCCGATTTATAGTGCTAGCACACTGAGATGCCATCCTGCAGTTGAACATGAATACCCTACTCAGACACAGTATACTGACTCCGAGCCGACCAGTCCTTGTTTTACCCGAGCGCCAGACAGGGTAACAACAAGTACCATCTTTTAACGTCTTTTGGTATGACGCGGCCGGGGATCGAACCCCAGACCTTCCGCTCTCCGGGCGGACGATCTACAACGGAGGCGGTCGGTACAAATATGTATTTTCATAGATGTAATTTGTTTATTACTGTGTGATCACCATAAGAAACTCGAAATACATCGACACTGAAAATTTATTATAAATATACTTTTTTTAAATAACAGAGCTCTCCAACACCCATTACATGGCTATCCTAATGTATTTTAGATTATATAAGGATGTTAACGTGTAAGCGACACACCAATTAATATTCGAGTGAAATGGAGGGCTTCGCATTTTTGTCAGAAAGAGAATTCGTTTTTGGCCAGTTCTTCTGTGAAAGGGCGAACCGAACAGTTAATTGTTTTCAGGACATGTACAGCTAAGAATTTGTTTTGTTTAAAGACGGAGAACAGCTTATTTGTTTTTTTCAAACAAACCTCGAATATGAAATGGCCGGTCTCTAACTTGGCTAATACGACCAATCAAAGATGGACATTTGTGTAACATCCTGGTGACTATTTATGGTCTGTCCGTTGCAGCTCAGTCGGGGCTCCAGTCGGGGCTCCAGTCGGGGCTCCAGTGCTACAGCTGCCTGCACACACCCCATCCAAAGGACTGCACTACCATCAAAACATGTGCTGCAGGAGAGGTGTGTAATACTGATGGTTTGTGTGTGTGTTGTTTTCTTTGTTGTTTAACGCCGCACTCAGCAATATTCCAGCTATATGACGGCGGTCTGTAAATACTCGAGGCTGGACGACAATCCAGTGATGGACATCATGGGCATCGATCCACTTAATTGGGACACGATGACATGAATCAACGTCAATCAGCCTGACCACCCGATCCCGTTAGTCTCACGACAAGCATGGGCTGGCGGGGGACAACGCGATTCGCTGTGCAGAGTTGCGTCCCTTTGGGTATGTTCGAATCCCGGTTCGCCCCGATTATGTTTCTAGGTTTGTCAGCACCATACCCGTGCTCGTGGGTTTCACCGAAGTGGTAAACGTCTGAGTCCTGCATCACTTCGGGACTTCCTCCCACATTAAGCTGACACGCCGTGACATAGCTGCATGGAATACTGTTAACAGCGGCGTTAAACCCAACTCACTCACTTATCAGCATTGAGAATCGCTAAAATGGTTAGAGCTAAAAGTGGCCAAAATGCACTTTGGCCCTTTTTGCATATTATTGCATAAATAACATCTATGAGTTCTTGTCTACCTGTAGAAAAATATTGTATGTTTTCATTGATGCGTTTTTTTAAATATAGCTACTTAAACTTCTATATAAGGGCCAAAGTCAAGTTTCAAAAGGGCCAAAGTCACTTTGTTAGATTTTGGCCCTTTTAGCTCTCATTTCCGTGTGTGGTTGAGACTGGTTGTCTGAGAGAGATTTCGAAAGTTTGGAACCTTATTATCATATTTCAACTATTTCAACAAAGTTGGCATTAGTTTAAATCATTTAAAAGTACTTCAATAGCATGTGTTTGTACTTTTAGTAGTAGTTTATCAATCTCACATGGTAAATTTCATGCAAATGCCTGAGGGTCAAAAAGGACCAAAATTCAGACACTGGCCCCTTCCACCCTCACACAAATTAAAAACATAAGTTTATTTCCTTTTTTGAATGTTTTTATAACAACATTTATATCTCTGCTGTCAGAATGCGTTCATGTCTCGGAATTTATCGGTGAAATAAAAGTTCATTAACATGCATAATCATATGTGTTTTCATCACTTTTCTCAAAACAGACTCCACATGACATTGGCCCTTATGGCTCTAAGCTCTTCACATGTGCAAATATAGGAATGTTATGACACACGATCATTCTACTGACTTAGGGGTAATATTTCTATGTTTCAGGAGTGCATGACCCTTACTAAGTCCCATGCAGGACACGTCGTCTATGAGATGGGATGCAAATCGAAGAGGGTAAACGTTCCTCTTTCTCTCCTATCTGTGAGGCGCGGGTTTCCCAGTCGTCCCGTTCGCCGCGACAATACGCTATGAAGAGTTACGTCCCTTAGGCGTGCAATAATCGGCTGTGGGATTGACCCAACATTTGGAGTCGTCTTTGTTTCATGAGTTTTTGCATAAGTGACATAAAAATGCCATGATCATAGGACATTTCAACAAAAAGTAGAATCTATTATACCATTCGGAGTACATAAAACGAATGTTTTTATGAATCACTTTTAAAAAAAAGCCAGAGAATAACCAGTCTCGATTTTAGGCGTAAAAGACAAAATAGGGGTAATAGATTACTGAAAACAGTGATTAACCGGGAATTAGGTGAGCATGTCCTGCTCTACCGGCGGGACCCGGTTTTCACACAGGTTGCAGTAAAAAGGTATGTGACCCGTGAAGATCCGGGGTAGAATAGGTCTTCAGCAACCCATGCTTGTCATAAAAGGTAACTATGCTTGTCGTAAGAGGCGACTAACGGGATCGGGTGGTCAGGCTCGCTGACTTGGTTGGTGCATGTCATCCATCCCAATTGCGTGGATCGATACTCATGATATCAATCACTGGATTGTCTTGTCCAGACTCGATTATTTACAGACCGCCGTCATATAGCTGAAATATTGCTGGGGGCGGCGTTAAACAACAAACAAACAAAAAGGTATGTGTTTGTGCTGACACAACACATCAGTACTCCTGAAACGTCTTACGCCTAGATCTCGTTTTGAGATTGCATTTTTCTATAGCGTTGTTATAAATAGAAAACTAGTATAATGCTGGCTATGTGAATTCGCACGCTCAATGGATTTACAATATACAGCAGTACATCGGAATTGTTGTGTTGAAAAGGGGCATTTGATTTTACGATATCTCAAAGAAATAAGCCCGCATTATAAAGGAAGAAATTGTGTATAATATATTTTGTTATCGTGTAGTGTATAGTTGATATTACGTCAGAAAGGAAATGCAAAAGACCTAACAACCAAGTAGGTATAAATACGATTCATGGCATCACATTAACTGTTGGTTGCACTACTTGGGTTGTCTGTCCATGATGAGGGGGGCACGGGTGGCCCAGTCGTCTAAGGCGCCGTGATTCGCTGTGCAGAGTTGCGTCCCTTGGGCACGCCAGAAACCTATGATTGTGGGTTCGAATCCCGGTTCGCCCCGATTATGTTTCTAGGTTTGTCAGCACCATACCCGTGCTCGTGGGTTTCACCGAAGTGGTAAACGTCTGAGACCTGCATCACTTGGGGCTTTCCTCCCACATTAAGCTGACACGCCGCGATATAACTGGAATACTGTTAAAAGCGGCGTTAAACCCAACTCACTCACTCACTCACTGTCCATGATGAGGGAGTAAATCTTCGTCCATGTTGTATTTACCACGTGAACATATGATGAGAGTGAGTGAGTGAGTGAGTATGGTTTTACGCCGCTTTTAGCAATATTCCAGCAATATTACGGCGGGGGACACAAGAAATGGGCTTCACACATTGTATCCATGTCGGGAATCGAACCCGGGTCTTCGGCGTGACGAGCGAACGCTTTAACCACTAGGCTACCCGACCGCCCCTCATGTGATGAGAGAATCACAGCCATGTCCTGCTTCAGCGTATAGATTTGTCCATGACAATGAATACTTTTTATCAAGCTTGTAATTTTTAACTATATATTTAATAAGGCCAGTGTCCATTTAAGAGAAATTGGCTAAATTGATACATTTTGAATAATTTGAGATGATATTATTGTGATATCAACAACTGATATTATTGGACGCCGTGCCACTCGGCGAGGGGTGTGTGTTAAATACTGTTGAATTATTGTACCGCTGTCAGTTGCTTGCCTCCCGCAGTGATTCCGGGTAAGAGCAGTTCCAAGTAACCTATGCTTGTCTCCTTGTAGGGATTCCGGGTTAGAACAGGTCCCCAGCAATCTATGCTAGTCTCCGTGTAGAGATTCCGGGTTAGAACAGGTCCCCAGCAATCTATGCTAGTCTCCATGTAGAGATTCCGGGTTAGAACAGCTCCCCAGCAATCTATGCTAGTCTCCCTGTAGAGATTCCGGGTTAGAACAGGTCCCCAGCAACCTATGCTGGTCTCCATGTAGCTGGTCTCCGTGTAGAGATTCCGGGTTAGAACAGGTCCCCAGCAACCTATGCTGGTCTCCGTGTAGAGATTCAGGGTTAGAACAGGTCCCCAGCAACCTATGCTAGTCTCCATGTAGAGATTCAGGGTTAGAACAGGTCCCCAGCAACCTATGCTAGTCTCCATGTAGAGATTCAGGGTTAGAACAGGTCCCCAGCAACCTATGCTAGTCTCCATGTAGAGATTCAGGGTTAGAACAGGTCCCTAGCAACCTATGCTGGTCTCCATGTGGAGATTCAGGGTTAGAACAGGTCCCCAGCAACCTATGCTGGTCTCCGTGTAGAGATTCAGGGTTAGAACAGGTCCCTAGCAACCTATGCTGATCTCCATGTGGAGATTCAGGGTTAGAACAGGTCCCCAGCAACCTATGCTGGTCTCCATGTAGAGATTCAGGGTTAGAACAGGTCCCAAGCAACCTATGCTGGTCTCCGTGTAGAGATTCAGGGTTAGAACAGGTCCCCAGCAACCTATGCTGGTCTCCGTGTAGACATTCAGGGTTAGAACAGTTCCCGAACTGTGTCCGTCACACATATGTATGTCCAATGCAGGTATGTGACCCGCTCAGAAACAACGTGCACGTGATTGTCGGGAAACGCGCAACAACAACATCCTGCACTGACTGCTGTAACAACGTTTCCCTTTGTAACAACATGCTGTGCGCAGAGCCAACGGCGACTTCTGCAACCACACTTGCAGCAGACACGTCAACGGCAATACCAACAACTACCACGACAACACCACCGGCTACGACTACCGCGACAACAGCACCGACTACGACCGACAAGTTGGCACTATGTACGTTTATGTTGATATATTACTGAAATATTTCCCACCGCTACGAGGGTACACAATAGGGACCTACACACTACCATCGAAAATGTATTCACGAATGTTCTCTAATTACAAACTTTGTCAAAGGAGTGAGTGAGTTGGGCTTAATGCTGCTTTGAACAGTATTCAAGTTATATCACGGCGTCTTAGTTTAATGTGGGAGGAAAGCCTGAAGTGATGCAGGTCTCAGACGTTTACTACTTTGATGAAATCCAGGAACACGGGTATGGTGCTGTCAAACCTAGAACCTGGATTCGAACCCACATTCATAGGTTTCTGGCGTGCCCAAGGGACGCAACTCCGAATAACGAATTGCGGCGCCTAAGAAAACTGCTCCCTACTAACTCAAGGAAAATTGACTACCAAGCATATTATAAAACTTCGAAAAGGAGCCCGGGTCGCTTTCACGTCTATGTGGTCTCAATTCCTTGTCCAGAGTTGCGCCCCTTAGGCATACCAGGAACCTATGATTCGTCCTGATCATGATTCAGTATGCGTCAGCACCATACCTGTGCTCTTGGCTTTCCCCAGAGTGGTAAAGAACACATTGAGATTCCTCCCACATAAAGCTGACACAGTGACGTAAATGAAATAACGTCCAAACCTCAGTGTTTGTATGTTGTTTAACGCCGCACTCAGCAATATTCCAGCTATATGACGGCGGTCTGTAAATAATCGAGTCTGGACCGGACAATCCAGTGATTGACATCATGAGCATCGATCCGCGCAATTGGGATCGATGACATGCATCAACCAAGTCAGCGAGCCTGACCACCCGATCCCGTTAGTCGCCTCTTACGACAAGCACAGTTGCCTTTTACGGCAAGCATGGGTTGCTGAAGACCTATTCTACCCCGGAATCTTCACGGGTCCCAAACCTCAGTGTACCGCAGCTGAATTCTAATACTCTACCTTCAAATTGGACAACCGCAGACATCAACCGACGATGAAAGCCATCGATGAAGTATCTTTGGTAGATATCACATAACCCAACTGAAATGAACACTCGTTACCTCATGATAATTCCGGGTCAGAACTGGTCGCCAGAACGGGGCGAAACAAAGGATCGGGTGGTCCGTCTCGGTGGATTGGTTGTCTTCTGTTATCAATCACTGAAAGGTCTGGTTACACTTGTACTTACCAATGCTTGCCGTGAAAGGCGACTATGCTTGTCGTAAGAGGCGACTGACGGGATCGGGTGGTCAGGCTCGCTGACTTGGTTGATGCATGGCATCGATCCCAATTGCGTAGATCTATGCTCATGATGTCAATCACTGAATTGTCTGATCCAGACTCGATTATTTCCAGACCGCCGTCATATAGCTGGAACATTGCTGAGTGCGGCGTAAACAACAAACAAACACACTTGTAACTTAGAGAACGCCGTCATTTGGCTGGAATATTTGTGAGTTAAACATCTGCAGCACCAACACACACACTTAGCTAGTCAACAATATCACATGAACCATCTGCAATGCCTTGTCCATCTGACCCGTGAAGACCCGGGGTAGAATAGGTCTTCAGCAACCCATGCTTGCCGTAAAAGGCGACTATGCTTGTCGTAAGAGGCGTCTAACGGGATCGGGTGGTCAGGCTAGCTGACTTGGTTGATGTATGTCATCGATCCCAATTGTCTGGATCGATGTTCATGATGTAAATCACTGGATTATCTGGTCCAGACTCGAGTAATTACAGACCGCCGTCATATAGCTGGAATATTGCTGAGTGCGGCGTTAAACAACCAACCAACCAACCAACCTTGTCCATCTTGTTCCCTTCCAGTGAAACTCGGGGTGGTCCCAGCCCAACAGACGGTTGATGTTCATGAGATGGCCGACTTCGAGTGCAACTTTGACGCCCCTGTTGACCAGCCCATGAATATGTCCTGGTCCTTCATGAACTTGGCCGGTCAAGTGACTCACATCTACTCGACTGCAGCCGTGAATCCACCAGAAGTCTTCATCGACGTGAAGAATGTATCTGCCTCGGATGCGGGAGTATACACGTGTGAAGCCAGTATAGGGTCGCGGACCTGGACCGCTGGAGGTGTACTCAAGGTGCCGGGTAAGTATAGCCATAAACCTGAAGAATACACCTTAAAGATATACACTGTCTCCGTGGTCTGATGGATAGCGCGTCTGCCCGGAGAGCGGAAGGTCCGGGGTTCGATCCCCGGCCGCTTCATACCAAAAGACATTAAGTGAGTGAGTGAGTGAGTATGGTTTTACGCCGCTTTTAGCTATATTCCAGCAATATCACGACGAATGACACCAGAAATAGGCTTCACACATTGTACCCATGTGGAGAATCGAACCCGGGTCTTCGGCGTGACGAGGAACGCTTTAACCACTAGGATGTGTGTGTGTGGCTGAGTGTACTATTCCGGAATGATGCCGACTCATAGTGCTAGCTCATTGAGATGCAATGCCCCGGTTTAACATGAATATCCCACTCAGACACAGTATACTGGCTCCGAGCCAACCAGTCCTTGTTTTAGCCCCCTAATGCCTTGCGCCAGACAGGGTGACAACCTTTTAAAACAAAAAGCAAACAAACAAACAAAGAAACACCTTGGGCCTAATCTTGCTCCAAGATGCATCAGTTTCACCTCAGGAAAAGGCAAATTATACGTTTCTTTCTTTTGTTTATCGCGAATGAATCCAATACATCTGAAAGCTCCAATCATCTGTTTATTTCAGACCCCAACACGACCCTGACGGTGGACCCGGACAGCCAGAATACAACCAGCTGTAAGTAGTGTTTGATTCACCTTAGACTAGGGCCCTAGAGCACTATACTGCGTGTGGTATGAGGCTTCTTCCCGGGGCAAGGGAGTTAACTCACTATACAGTCAGGGGTCACGGGTGGCCCAGTCGTCTAAGGCGCCGCGATTCGCTGTGCAGAGTTGCGGCCCTTGGGCACGCCAGAAACCTATGATTGTGGGTTCGAATACCGGTCGCCCCTATTATATTTCTAGGTTTGTCAGCACCATACCCGTCCTCGTGGGTTTCACCGAAGTGGTAAACGTCTAAGACCTGCATCACTTTGGGCCTTTCCTCCCACATTAAGCTGACACGACGCGATATAACTGGAATATTGTTAAAAGCGGCGTTAAACCCAACTCACTCACTCACTCACCATACAGTCAGTAAACTCCCTTGCCCCGGAAAGATGCGCATGAGGCGACTGAGATGAGGATGGTGTGGCTAGGCTCTGTGATCTGGATGAAAGCGTCTTATCGTAACCCGTGAGTCGTTGTTCACACATTCAGTCATGGTATCCCTGGAATGTTGCTGAATGGCATCAAACGACATTCACACGCGGAGCATCTAATTAATGATGAATTCTTTTTTCATCGAAGTAAGGTGAGCGGATGATATTGACGCCGCCAAGACAATACCTTCCACATTACTAAACCTAATCATTTTTGCATATGCAGCCATCACTGTAAAATGTGAGTGAGTGAGTGAGTATGGATTTACGCCGCTTTTAGCAATATTCCAGCAATATCACAGCGGAGGACACCAGAGATCGGCTTCTCACATTGTACACGTCGGGAATCGAACCCGTGTCTTCGGCGTGACGAGCGAACGCTTTAACCACTAGGCTATCCGACCGCCCCCACTGTAACATGTACTATAACAAACAGTTATGCTTGTTGCATTTCGCGAACACCTGGTGTCATCACTGATTTTCTGTGATCCATTCATATACATTTCACTACTTTGCCTTTTACGCCCAATGGAATCTGTTTCGGCAGATAATCGAGACTGATTGTTCTATTAACGCTGCATTGGTCATCATCATCTAAATCAATAACCATACCATAGATCCTCTACATCACTGTCGTTGATCTGTTGTTCAAGGGGACCTGCAGGTGATCCCAAGCAACCAGACCATGGCGCCAGGCGAGACCGCCATCTTGTTGTGCCAGTTTGACCCTGTTGTGCGTGACTCGATGACAATGACTTGGACATTCACCAACATGGCCGGCACTACTACAGAGATCTACTCGGACGTGGAGCTCAGCCCGTCCATGACGTTCTACGTGAAGCAGTTGGAGGCCTCCGATGCCGGCGTGTACACCTGTCAGGCTTCCTACGGGAATGAGACGTGGACGGCCAACGGAAGTCTGCACGTACACGCCTAGAAGAATAACGCACCATGTCTATCTGATGACCGATTAAAAATTAAAACTGTTAGCTTTGTTCATTTTACTTCATGTCACAATACGATGCCTTCTATCCAAGGAAACCTGGTTTAATACATGAAATAATCAAATATATTTGTGATTCAGTAGTGAGTGAGTGAGATTGATTTTACGCCGCTTTTAGCAATATTCCAGCAATACCAAGGCAGGGGACAACAGAAATGAGCTTCACACATTGTACCCATGTCGGTAATCGAACCCGGGGGGTGACGCGCTAAGGCTTTAACCACTACGCTACCTGTGATGGAGTATATCGAGTAGAGATGTGGTCATGTTAATGAAGACAGGATAGGCTTAAGGATTTCAGAATCTTAACAATGTTAAATTTGTATTGGAGAATAAGGATAGTTATTTCTTTTCAAGAATTTTCGGGGACCATTCATTTTTTCAATAACATCCCAGGACCCTAAAGAAAATCAAATGGTCGGTCACCCTGATTGAGTACTGTAAACCTTAGATCCTCAATGGAAAAGAGAGTAGGTTTGCCTGATGTGCCTCTATAAATGACAATATCATAAATACAAACGTGATCAGACATTTGCCATTCACATCACCATGACCTTTCCAATGATCTTTTTTTTAATGTTTAATGAAGTTTACGTCACAACATAGCTTCATGTTTTTATGTGCTTTTGAGGGCATGGGCGGCCCAAAAGAGTAAGGGCCGCAATACACAGGTCAGAAACCTGTGACTGTGGAGTTCAAATCCAAGTGATAACATACACACTTTAACCACAAATGATAATCAAAAGGTGGGAGTATGTCTTGTTAATGTAAATACCAAGTTTTATGACACATACATTCATACTGAAAAATAATAACCACGAACGTTCATGTGACCTTGACCTTTAGCTTCTTCACTGCATGTGTCAAACACTACTTTTGTGTGACCTTGACATTTGACATAAGTGAAATTGACATTTGATGTGGTAGGATTTCTTAAGAAAGTGTTAAACATAAAACGTGTCACATCCCTTGTAAGCGTGTTTGTACATATCTGCAGCTAACGGACCCAGGGCAAGATTTGCCTCAGCTGGCTAAATGATTGACACATTCTCCATAAGCAAGCCTGCCGATTAGGGGAATTAAAACATAATACAAGAAGGTATCTAATGTAAAATATATTTATTTACATTAGTATTTACAGTTGACGTTACCATGAAAGCAGTGCTCGTTTCATGACAATTCTTGCATTATTTACACACACCACACGACCTTTCTCTCAAGGAAGTTGCCGATCTCATTCTCCTTTAGGGTCTTGTTATCAGTAGAAAAGTCAGCTCAACCCAGCCATTCAATTACTCATACCGTATTCGACGTAATAAGCACCCCGCTCTAATAAGTGCTCACGGTGACATTTGCTAAGATATTGGCTTGTGAACAACTCAATTAGCACACCTTCCGATTGATCAATGTACACAAGACTTATTTATTCACTTATAATACACACTCATGTGTTATATGCACCCTTAATTATAGGCAATTAAATTCTGGAAATATATATATATGTCGTACATTAACATTTTAGGCTTTCAGCATAAACCACGAAATCTATCTTTAAACTCTGTTTTTTTCACCAAAATAATATTCTAATAAGAGCCCCCTATTTCTAATTTTGAGAGTGCCCTGGGCCCTCATTACGTCAAATATAATAACTATATTTTCACGAAAAGCGAATTTTCTCATTCCCATTTTCACAGAAAATTGCTGCAGACTTCGGGCCAAATATCGCCCTGTGAGCAGGTCCAGATAAATCGGTGGGCAACAATGCAATCAATAGAATACGATAATAATGGAATAATGACAGGCAACAATCAAGTCACCAAATCAACTTGATCTATATAGTTGCCTTGTACAACAAGCTTAGGTTACTGGCATTCAATTCTAACCCGGAATGATTTGACTGAACTAGACCAGAAGAAGCACTGTATCTTCACTGTGGCAGTTTGATCAAACTTTTGAAACATCTCGGGTGAGAACTGTTTCAGCACATTGTACCAGCATCAATAGTAAACATATAGGCCTGGGACTTGTTCCACAAAGCAATCTCAGTTCTAAGATTATCAATAGTCTTTGCTTGAGTGTGGGTCTAAGATCATTGTAGAGATTACCATCAGTCTTTGTTTGAATGTTGGAGCTACGATCATTGTAGTGACAATCATACGTCTTTGTAATAGTACGACAGCTACGATCATCGTAGCGACTACCATGTCTTTGTTTGAGTATGAAAGGTACAATCATCGTAGTGATGACCATACATCTTTGTAATAGTATGACAGCTACGATCATCGTAGCGACTACCATGTCTTTGTTTGAGTATGGAAGCTACAATCATCGTAATGACGATCATACGTCTTTGTAATAGTACGACAGCTACGATCATCGTAGCGACTACCATCAGTCATTGTTTGAGTATGAAAGCTACAATCATCGTAATGACGATCATACGTCTTTGTAATAGTACGACAGCTACGATCATCGTAGCGACTACCATGTCTTTGTTTGAGTATGGAAGCTACAATCATCGTAGTGACGATCATACGTCTTTGTAATAGTACGACAGCTACGATCATCATAATGACTATCATAAATCTTTGTTACAGTATGGAAGCTACGATCATCGTAGCACAACAAATGCTTTGTGGAACAGCCCCAGAATATATCCCCATCTTCTGGTGAAACGACAATTTCTGCACTCCTAACAGTTTTTCTGCTTCTTCCAATAATACAACCCTGCAATGGGGAGTACTTGAGCTGAAGAAAGTGTCACAGCTGGTGTCCAATCCATTTGTCTTTCAGACAACAAAATGTTCAAATAATTCAGAAGTACTGGCTTAGTCAGTATGAGTCTTGTCACTGCAGGTCTCAGAGAGGGCAGTCGTAGATATGAATTGCCTTATCGTCGGAGACTGACACAATCTTGGAACCATTACTGTTGTAGGTGGCGCTCCATACCTGAAATAACATGGGAGAAATCATCTTGTGACTTGGAGGGATTTGTAACATTGTGCTAAATCATTAGTCCTGTGACTTACTTGGAGCATCATGAGTCCTGAACTGGACCCACTTGCACAAAGCGATCTTATTAACTCCTATACTTTAACATAGACTTACGATAGACTTACGATAGTCGTAGGGCTAAGATCGCTTTGTGCAAGTGGGTCCTGGACAGTTTTCAAGGTTCCGAATGTTTTACATATCAAATGGATGTGAAATGTCGTTTGTTAGATAAAAAGACACCAGCGCCCCATTCCAAAAAGCAATCATGACGATCGTAAGCCTATGTTAAGTATGGCAGCTACGATCACCTTAGCGCAAAGATTGCTTTGTGGAACAAGGTCCAGTTCCTTAGACTTTAAGAACATTGTTACGGAAACAGACATCAAGGATGGAAATGTTGTTGTCTTATATCATATCATATCATATTGCTTAATCAAAACCCAATAGCATTTTCAAAGCACTACACTAGTACACCAGTCAATGGATTAGTGTGCACATGATTACAATCTCAGCTCCCTGGGGATCATGCAACCTGTGAGCTGCTAGAAGGTAACAGTTACATTACCATCTCATCCTACCAGGTAGCCATTTACTGCTGGGTGAACAGAGGCATCTTGCGAGTAAAGTCACTTGCCTGAGGCCACACCACATGTGCTACATGTGCTTCAGTGTCTGGCAGGATTGAAGTCCCAGAAACTCTCAAGAGTTGAGCTGCAGAATGCAGTCACCCATCCATGACCAACATTACTTAATGTCAACTAATTTGTGACTGCGATTAGCTACATGGTTGGCTGGTTGGTTGGTTTGGTGTTTAACGCCCCACTCAGCAATATTCCATCTATATGAAGGCCGTCTGTAAATAATTGAGTCTGGACCAGACAATCCAGTGATTAATATCATGAGCATCGATAACATGCATCAACCAAGTCAGTGAGTCTGACCACCCAATCCCGTTAGTCGCCTCTTACGACAATCATATTCGCCTTTTACGGCAAGCATGGGTTGCTGAAGACCTATTCTACCCCGGATCTTCAAGGCTACATGGTAGTCTGACATTCAGAACATGTGAGAACAACAACTGTTTACACATACCTGGTCAGAGTGCTCATAGAACGTGTGGACGCACTGCCGAGTTCCAGCATTCCAGATCTTCACGGTTTTATCAGATGACCTGGAAGAGAAGCAGAGCCATGACAGGTCAAGGAGGCAGCAGTGCAAGCAGGGACATCCGGCAAGTCTTCTTGGGAAACTTTCAGCAGCTCATGTTTTGACTTTCAACAGCAGATTGAACTACACATTGCTTGACAAAATTTATACAAAACTGAGTCGGATAATTCAAGTATTTTTGAGGCTCCCTCCCCACAATTTGGCCATTCAAATTTAGGCCCTCAATTTTTCTATCCGATGCAAAATCTACTTGAACTCTATTGTAACTGTGTGTGTGTGTGTAAAAAAAACATTATTTCACTCTGGGACAACGTTGGCTTTATCTTACCCTCAGACAAAGTAGGCATTATATCTTCCCCTGAGACAAAGTGGGTGTTACTTTACCCTCAGACGAAACGGGTGTTATCTTTCCCTGAGACATAGTGGGTGTTATCTTACCCTCAGACGAAACGGGTGTTATCTTTCCCTGAGACATAGTGGGTGTTATCTTACCCTCAGACGAAACGGGTGTTATCTTTCCCTGAGACAAAGTGGGTGTTACTTTACCCTCAGACGAAACGGGTGTTATCTTTCCCTGAGACATAGTGGGTGTTATCTTACCCTCAGACGAAACGGGTGTTATCTTTCCCTGAGACATAGTGGGTGTTATCTTACCCTCAGACGAAACGGGTGTTATCTTTCCCTGAGACATAGTGGGTGTTATCTTACCCTCAGACAAAGTGGGTGTTATCTTACCCTCAGACAAAGTGGGTGTTATCTTACCCTCAGACAAAGTGGGTGTTATCTTACCCTGAGACATAGTGGGTGTTATCTTACCCTCAGACAAAGTGGGCGTTATATCTTACCCTGAGACAAAGTGAGTGTTACTTTACCGGAGACAGAGTGGGTGTTATCTTACTCTGAGACAAAGTGAGTGTTACATTACCCTGAGACAAAGTGGGTGTTATCTTAACCTGAGACATAGTGGGTGTTATCTTTCCCTGAGACAAAGAAGGTGTCATCTTACACTAAGACAAAGTGGGCGTCATCTTACACTGAGACAAAGTGGGCGTTATCTTACACTGAGACAAAGTGGGTGTTATCCTACCCTTAGACAAAGTCAGTGTTATCTTACCCTGAGACAAAGTGGGTGTTATCTGGACAGAAGGAGACACTAAGCACCCAGTCTCCGTGGCCAGACAGGGTTCCCGCTAGGTTGGCATGTTGGCTGGAAGAAGAAAGCATAAAGTCAATATTTCAAGGGATTACACAGAAAGAATACACAAATGCAAATTTAAATGTATTTGTGATGAAGATCACGAGAGAGAAGGAGGGTGTCTAAAGACGTGCAAAGGATCAACAAGTGTTTCTTGTTTATTGTTTAACGCCGAACTCAGCAATATTCCAGCTATATGACGGCAGTCTGTAAATAATCGAGTCTGGACCAGACAATCCAGTGATTGACATCATGAGATTCATGATATGCAGGTCAGCAAGCCTGACCATCCGATCCCATTAGTCGCCTCTTACGACAAGCATAGTCACCTTTTACAGCAAGCATGGGTTGCTGAAGACCTATTCTAGCTCGGCTCTTCAGGGGTCGGATCAACAAGATTGCGAATGCATAAAGGTTTGTTTAGTGCAGGCAGCAATATACAAGCTCTATCCCTTTACAAAGTCAAATATGGACCAGGCAAAATAGGGGCACAATGACATACAGGGCTCTTTTAGTTGACTGTTCCATAAAGAAATAGGCTAGTGGGGACCAGTACTTCCAGGGAGTCACTGGGCAAGTGACATTTAACAACTATGCAGGTCCAAAGGACCATAGTCAGTAAGCATCAATCAGAGTGGCAGCAAGCAACAATCAATAAATCTAACATCGGCATTGTTCCACTATCTTGCATTATATGAAAATTAGTAAATGTTAATTTACGCTAGTCGGCTAAATTGCATGCACATCACTACAATGACAAGCAATCATGCAAGTCAGGTCAGGTGAAATGGGGGTTTAAGATGATTGCTCTCTCTCTCTCTCTCCCTCTCTCTCTCCCTGTCTCTCTCTCCTTAAAAGGTTTCAATTTAGGGAGAATTAGAGAATGTCAGTTGATATATTTGATTGCAAAAGACACGAGGGCGAGATCCTCTAACTTTTTAAGCTTGTATACAGTAATAATCAGTGTCTTCAGTGTAAAAATTACTGCTAACAGGTTCAGTAGCAGAGCCATTAGTGATGTCATTTGATTTGATGTCACCCAAGCGGTATCTCCTGTGGGAGCCAGTTTTGGATGATAATTCACTGTATACTTACACATCATATATCTTGATATTTCCATCATCTGATGCAGTGACCAGGAGCTGGGAGTCGGGAGAGAAGCACAGTGACCGGATAGGCATAGCGTGACCTGAAACAGACCAAGATGTCACTGATTGTCGACACTTCATGGCTTGTGCATATTCACTACGTTTCTTTATAACCCGTGATTACATGTTCCCCTTTGGCAGTATAGAAGTGAGGTATTTCTATTTTTAGTCAGCTAACAACTGTATAAGTGACCATAAAGTCCAGTTTCCACCCTTGCCGAACTAGGCTGGAATTTCTGGGCTCGATCGTACCGCCACCAGTGGCTAGTACAATGTCAGTCCTATATCCAATCAAATTCCACCTCTCATATCACTTGCATTTCTTCAAACAAAATGACGGCGCCCAGTGAAGATGATCTGATCGATAGTCAAGACCTATATTGTGAAAAAGCGGGTCTCAGTTTGCGAAGTGCATCAAATCACATGAGCAGCACCTTCATTAAAAACATGAAAGATTAAGGAAAAGATCGGGTCTTCATGGGTGTTTTACATACACAATGCTGACCTATTTTACACCTGGATCTATTCTAACCCTGGAGTGAGCGAGTGAGTGAGTTGGGTTTAACGCCGCTTTTAACAGTATTCCAGTTATATCGCGGCGTGTCAGCTTAATGTGGGAGGAAAGCCGAAGTGATGCAGGTCTTAGACGTTTACCACTTCGGTGAAACCCACGAGCACGGGTATGGTGCTGACAAACCTAGAAACATAATCGGGGCGAATCGGGATTTGAACCCACAATCATAGGTTGTGCAACTCTGCACAGCGAAGCGCGGCGCCTTAGACGACTGGGCCACCCGTGCCCCCTCTAACCCTGGAACCATGGACCCCTGTATTTACATATGCAATGCTGAGTGTGATTGAAATTTCAAACAATTGTTCCATGCCATTGGGGTACATTGACATGACATCAAGCCAGTCACCAACCTTACCACCTTGGTACATTGGCTGTTGGGTACCAATCATAATCCAGGATCCCAATGGGGTGAATCAATGAATAAATATTGCCTAACAACACATCAGCAAATTTACAGCTATTCACGCAACCCATCTCAGTGAATTAACTTGAGAATTTGAACAGCTTCACGAGGGAGACATGTAAGCCTCAGTATTACCTTCTAGTGTGTGGATGAGTTTTCCTGTTGTGATGTCAAAGATGTTCACAATACCATCTAAGGCTCCTGATGCTATGAATCTACCATCAGGGCTCTGAAACATGTATCAAACTACTGAACATCTCGCACAAAACAAGAGAGGATGAAACAAATTCTTAATTCTAAAGTCATTTTGGACTAAATACATGACATAATATCAACAGCTGGGACTTCACCCCAGTGCTCCTCTTGTGGACCCTTGAACATCTGGGTAAGAATAGGTTTTTTCGTAAGAGGCGACTATGTTTGTCGTAAGATGCAACTAATGGGACCGGATGGTCAGGCTCGCTGGCTTGGTTTCTGCATGTCATCATATCCCAAGGGACCTATTCTAAACCTGGATCAATGGACTTTTGTATTTACCATTTTCATTAATTCTATTCAAAATTCCTTTAAATATTGTTTTAATTAATTTCGGCGAAATCGCGTGCGAAGCGAGCGGAAGATCGCGCAACTCACCTTTTATTAACAGCGACCACGGTCAGATTAGGGCTATTGACGCCTTGAAACGAACTTTAATTGACAGAGAATGGATACATATATCATAAATGCCATACTTTGACTCGTTAAAAGTCATATTTGTTATAGTTTGACGATTCTATGTCAACACGTAGTTCTCGCGATCACGTGCGCGAGAGCCTTGACGGTGACTGGTCAGACTAGTTCCATGTGAAAAATTATTACCCGGAAATAGCGATCAGCTGCTTCGCTTAGGGTTATTATTATTTAAAATATGTTTAGTAAAAGCTGCAACTAAATTAACAAGATATTGGGATATATTATTACTGATAAAAAATAGTTTCAGATACAATTTTTGCCGATCCTTGCATTAAAATACTGTAAAGTTATATATCATTGGGTGTGTCTTGACCGTATCACCGGTAGATTCCAAGAAAACGTGTGTACAGCTGATAGCTGTGTCCGGCTTAGTTTACGAGAAAATACACAAGGTAATCTTAATCCCTGGATGTAAAACAATGCCTGGCAGAACAAAAAATACAATTTAAACGGTAAATAAATTTGTCTGGTGATTTTTTATCTCAAATTTTGAATTTGTACTGACCAAGTTTCTCATCACCCGTTCGTTTACCGGAATTCGCTGAAGGGGTAGATCTACAGTGTAATTTATTTCTGCACTTGACATTCGATTTTTCCCCCTAAAATACTGAATCCGCTAGAGGGGGTTGCGCACTATACTCAAGAAAATACTGGTAATTGATATAGGAAATACCCACACACTTGTGTGAACTCTCAACATCTACTGAATGTCGTATTGAATCGTAGACCATTCATTGTGTGCTATGATGAATAGATAAACCACTAAACTCGTGAAGTTCACGTAATAATTTTCAAACAATCCTGATAGTGCAACAAGTTAATTTTAAATCACACACATTCAAGTACAGTGATCGCTCGCTATTGCGCTACCAATGGGGTCCAAATAATTGGTGGGCGTTATAGACGATGAGCCGTTTAACCGAGGCCGAGGCGGGGGAGCGCGCTCGGCAAATCTCAAATCATCAATAGGCCTATGTGTTTATCTCACGTCACGTCAAAATAGTATATATTTTTATAGACCTAGATCTACCTGTAATATCATTCATTTATTAAATCTGTCATATTTCACAATGTCTGAAATACGTATTCCATTCTAATTTATCAGTTTTTATCAATAAATTAAAAAATTATTCACTATTTCCCGCGATGTTATTGAAAATAAAATTCTCGGACACACATTTCGACAACGGGTCCGCATCGAACATGTCAAAGAGCAAAATAAAGACTATTTTAAGCAAATCTTTAAATATATTATACAAAGTGATAAATAAAATCAACAAAAATATATCTAAAAGTAATCAAACTTACATCTAAGTTATTATTTCCATCGTTTCGTGCGATCGCGTGTAATGTAAGTCAAATGACATCTCGGCTTTCGTCGCCTTGAATTCTCGGCTCGGACACAACGTTTAATGCAAAAATATATGCATGAAAAATCTTTGTCACAGCTCGTAACCTAGCACGATACATTCGCAAAGTTCCATATTTTTAATATATATCGTGATTTCCTGCTTAAAACGTTCAGAATAACACGATTTAACAAAAAATCTTTCGCTAACTTCTGAAATTTATCAAACACGAGCTTTGTATCACAGCTTGATTGGCTGCCTGAGGTCACGTGCTCAAAATTGACCAATCACGAAACTTGTAGCAGATTTCGGCAAGAAAGCGTCATTAGAAACAAATTTTAATCCAATGAAATCGCTTGTTATAACTACGGGGAAAAAACAGGCGATGTTACGAAAGCGCGATTACGAAATGAATGACCGCCGTGTTGTGACAGCAACTACATGTGTGTGACAGTTTAGCCTTAAATTGGATTGCCCACTAATTAAGAATATAAACTTCACTTGTGGTTCTCTTTTATTGCATGCATGCGCTTCTAAGATCAAAGGATGTATAGTGTGAAAAGTTAACTAGTAGAATTTCCGGGACCTGCCGCGGATGTTTTCAAACAGATTATTAGAACTCCATTCAGCGATAAACCGTTGATTATGCAATGAGAAGCGTTATGTGCAAATAAACAACGAACAACAATACAATCATGTCTGTGTAAAACTCTCAGTATTAAAAGTGTACATAAATTTTGGGAGCCATGCGTTACCGCGCGTAATAACCGAAGTAGCGCTTTATCGAAGAGCGCAATAGCGAGCGATCACTGTACACACACGTCTTTCCATGTATCCACATTCACCCGCTAACCGCACAGGCCGCAGACACCTAAACGAGCCTCCTGGTGGTAATGAAGGCCGGGAATCAACCAAGCGCTAATGGTGACGTGACACCAATACACAGGACATTCAAAGTCCTTTTACACTCGCTTCAGTGACTTTGCCCACGCTCGCGAAAAACCGGGTCCTGCAGTAGGAATTGAAAATCCACATCCCAGAGAGGCCACCCTGACTGTTTACATATGCTTTTGTTTGCTTGTTGTTTAACATCGCACTCAGCAATATTCCAACAGTATGATGACGGTCTGTAAATAATCGGGCCGGGTCAGACAATCCAGTGATTGATAAATGAGCATCGATATAAGCAACTGGGATTCGTGACATGGATCATCCAAGTCAGTGAGCCTGACCACCCAAAGCCCCTCTTACGACAAGCATTGGCTGCTATTCTAGTGAGTGAGTGAGTGAGTTGGGTTTAACGCCACTCTTAACAGTATTCCAGTCATATCTAGTCAAGGTCTAGTGGTAGAGCGTCCACCCCAGAGAGCAGAGGTCCGGGGTTTGATCCCCGGATGCGTCATACCAAAAGACCATAAAAGATAGTACCTGTCTGGTGCTCGACATTACGGGGTTAAAACAACGACTGGTCATTCCGGAGTCAGTATACTGTGTCTGAGTGGGGTATTCATGTTAAACTGCGGCATGGTATCTCAGTGGGCTAGCACAATAAATGGGCATCAGTCTGGACTAGTACAAGCAGACACACACACATCGCTTTATAAGTGCAATAATTTTGGTCTGACGTTAAACCCCATTTCATCTAGTCCTACATGCAATATCAATTTCATAAAACAATGCACAGCCGTCAAAATTTGTAATGGCAATTCTGAGCAGCATATGTCTTTGGATCATACTTTCTGGATCATAGGAAAACACTGTCAGGAGCTCTAGAGACTTAGTCAAGTGATTTTCTTATCGTTACTTTTGTTGACCAGATGTTATATTTGTTGACCAGATGTTATATATTCATCCAATCACAAACGGTATTGCATTGATTTGTTGTTAAGGTTTGTCCACCATTTTTGTTGATTTAACTTGTTCACTATGCCATTGACTTATTACATTTGTTTGGTCCAAGTCATTGACCTATATAGTTTTTTGTGTCTAAATCACTGACTTACATATGCAATGCTGAGTGTGAATTTGCACCTGGTGTCTAGCGATGTCTCCTTCCTGCCTGAGTCCACACCAAACAGGTTGATCTTGCCCGTGTGGCTGCCGGACGCTATAAATCTGTTGTCTGGGGAGAGGGCCACAGTCCACGCATCCACTGAATAAAACAGAAAATGGATGATGACCATACTTTTGGGAAATGGTTCAAATATTTCAATCTTTCACTTGAAAATGCAATCGATAACTGATTAATGATTGATTATGGATGAGAGTGAGTGAGTATGGTTTTACGCTGCTTTTAGCAATATTCTAGCAATATCACAGCGGGGAACACCAGAAATGGTTTTCACACATTGTACTCATGTTGGGAATCTTCGGTGTGAGTGAGTTGTGTTTAATGCCGCTTTTAACAGTATTCAAGTCATATCATGGCGTGTCAGCTTAAGGCTAAAAAAAGTAATAGTCTTGGTTCTCAGGCACTGCCCACGTCATCATAAAGTTCATTGCACGTTTTGTTTTTGTTTCGATTTTCAATTTTTTTGTGCATTGTGTTTAAGTATTAGGATTTTTATATGTTTTTTGAAAATAAAAATAAAAACAAAACGTGCAGACATCATGATGATATAAGACTATTATTTTTTTTTAGCCTAATGTAAGAGGAAAGCCCCAAGTGATGCAGGTTTAATACGTTTACCACTTCGGTAAAACCCAGGAGCACAGGTATGGTGGTGACAAACGTAGAAACATAATCAGGCGAACCAGGATTCGAACACACAATCATAAGTTTCAGGCATGCCCAAGAGACACAACTCTGCACAGTGATTTGCGGCGCCTTAGACGACTGGGCCACCCGTGCCCCCGCTTCGGTGTGACGAGCGAACACTTTAACCACTAGGCCACTGCACCAACCCCTCATGGTGAGGTTAGGTGAAGTGAAATGGGGTTTAACGTCGCATCCAAGATTATTGCACTTATGTAGCGACGTGCATGCACGTGTGTTTGTGTGGCTGCTTGTACTAGTCCGGACTGATGCCGATTTATAGTGCTAGCTCACTGAGATACCATGCCGCAGTTTAACATGAATACCCCACTCAGACACAGTATACTGACTATGAGCCGGCCAGTCCTTGTTTTAGCCCCTTAATGACGACGCATGACAGGGTAACAACAAGTACCATCTTTTAACGTCTTTTGGTATGACGAGGCCGGGGATCGAACCCCGGACCTTCCGCTCTCCGGGCGGACACTCTACCACAAGACCACGGATGCGGTACCCCCCATCATGGATGAGAAGAGAAAAAGCATACAGTTGGCTCGTGATAAATATTCATCCACATTGCATGGCATCCATACACTTGCTTAGAGTGCTATATATTCACCCACCTGGCCCAGCGTCGATGCCCTTGGCTAGTTTGCCTGACTCCAGGTCCCATACCTTCATGTGACCATCAAGACTGCTGGAGGCCGCCACTAGCCACAGTTCAGGAAAACATTCTTACGTCTGTCGGGATAGTTACTGAGTTAGTTTAATGCCACTTTGAAAAGTATTTCATTTATATCACAGCATGTTGAAAAATCAAGGCCAATCTGGAGTTTCCAGCAAAGCCAAGGGATGTTACTCTGCACAGCGAATCACAGCACCACTGGGTAACCTATGCCTGTTTGTGGTGATCATGGAGAACAGAAAAATCATACATTTCACACTATTTTTCTCCTCAGCATTCAGTTTTTGTTTGTTTCGTTGTTGTTTAATGCCACCTATCAATATTCCAGACAGCGAGCTGTAAATGATCCAATCTGGACCAGACACCAGTGATTGACATTCATGTTGTTAACAACGATCCACACCGTCAGTGTACGATGACATGCACATGATGCAAGCAGGCAAATCACCTGATCCCTTCATCCCTGGACTTGCTTCTTACAACATGTGAGGACAATTCCAATCCAGGATCTCTCCTGGGTCCCTAAAGTTAGTATCATAGCAGCTGTCTTCAAAGTCAGAGGCTTTATAAAGGATATCTTACGCTTTACGAGAATATCATTATCTACATAATGAATAGGAAATTTTATATTATAGTAATCATGGTAATGAAAAGTTTTACAGACATTAGAAGACATAAGCCTAGCTTTTAAGATAGACTTACAACAGTCGTAGTGACAAGATCAATTTGTGGAATCTAGCATTGGGGCAGAATATCACCCTCTAAAAGCACCCCGATAAGTCCCTGATGTTATGTAGGTAACCATGGCAACTAAGGATACATGTACCGCCTGGACTGATGTCGACAGACAAGACTCCGAGCTGATGTCCCTCCAGGGTGTGTCGCAGCTCCAGTTTGTCATCCGACCTGGGGGATGAATAGGGTGAATCAGTGGGGTTTAGCACACCTTGGAACACTATTCCGGTATCATGGTAATATAACTGTGTATGTTTTGTCTTTTTGTTCCTTAACGTCGCACTGAGCAATATTCTAGCCATATGATGACGGTCTGTAAACAATCAAGTCTGGACCACACAATCAAGGGAGCCTGACCACCTGATCACGTTATCGCCTCTTACGACAAGCATAGTCGCCTCTTACGACAAGCATAGTCGCCTCTTACAACAAGTATAGTCTCCTTTTACGGCAGGCATGGGTTAATGAAGACCTATTCTAACCTGAATCCCTGGAGTGCGTAGAACTAGAAGCTATCTGTTTCGTGTGTAGTAAGAAATATCAAAATTGTTTTTATTGCATGGAAAGCAGCTATGGAAATGTCAAGGACATTCTCAGTCTGTGTCAAAACAGTGTGATTCCAGTCCACTCAATCTACTTCTCCTTATCTACAAATAAACCTGTGAAGATCCAGATTAGAATAAGTCTTCAGCAACCAAGTCAGCGAGCCTGACCACCTGATCCCGTTAGCTGCCTCCTACAACAAGCTGTGAAGCATAGTCGCCTTTTCGGCAAGCATGGGTTGCTGAAGATCTATTCTTTCCCAGATCATCACGGGTTGACAATCCAGTGATCGACATCGCAGAGAAAGACATATCCAACTAGTCCGCAGCATATTTTGGACTAGTGCTGTGTGGAAAATAATTAGCTTTGGGAAGAAATCAACTAGTCCCTCGAGACTGTCACAAGACTTGGACTGACAGGCCATGTTCATCCCTGCATCATGAGCATCGTTCTACGCAACTTGAATACGATGACAACCATCAATCAAGTCGACAAGCCTGACCACCCGATCCCGTAAGTCGCCTCTTATGACAAGCATGGGTGACTGAAGCCCCTTTAACCCTTTATACATGGTTGAGAAACAAAGCCGAGAAAATGCTTACCACTTCCACACTTTGACAGTGTCATCCAGGGATCCTGTAACAATGTTTTCAGTGCCGTCCCTCTCGCTCCGGCCCCAGGCACAGCTCCATATGCTGTCTTCATGGGCTACAAACATACAGAAGCATCAGGTACAGCAGCTCACCTTTATCATATAACATTGTGGTATGAGTGAGTGAGTGAGTTGGGTTTAACGCCGCTTTTAACATTATTCCAGTTATATCACGGCGTGTCAGCTTAATGTGGGAGGAAAGTCCAAAGTGATGCAGGTCTAAGACGTTTACCACTTCGGTGAAACCCACGAGCACGGGTATGGTGGTATTGTGGTATGAAGCGTGAGTGAGTATGGTTTTATATCGCTTTTAGCAATATTCCAGTAATATCACAGTGGGGGACACCAGAAATGGGCTTCACACATTGTACCCACGTGGGGAATAAAACCCGGATCTTCGTCATGATGAGCAAATGCGACCACCCCACTGTTGGTTAGAAACGTATTACCAATGTTATGATTATCACCAAATTTATCATAAAAGTGATTTGTGAACAGAGATTGTTTATTGTTGATTAATCAGTAATAATCATGATAATCACCATCTTTAAATATATGACTAAGGGAATTATTCACACATTCGAAGATACATGTAGATGACAAAATATAAAACACATGACATACCTTGTTCTTGTTTGAATATGATTGAGTACTGAAATAGAAAGGAGAAAAGTGCAGTAAACGTACACATGCATTTTTGACAAATTTCAATATTTCATAAATGTTTTAAAAAATGTCTGCACTGGTTTTCCATCTTCAATCAAAATACACATACATTTACAACATTACAACTAAAACAGAAAACAACTCAATCTTTATGCATGTAAGTTATTTAACCATTTAATTCAAATACCCGTAATATCCCTTACCAAACTGACAAAGATATCCAGTGTCTTAACAAACACAGAAAATGAATCAAGGAATGAAAGGGGAACATCGACTGAGACATCGTATACATGTACAGCATTCAAAACAAAAGGAAGGTCTTGAGATCATCTTTGACATTTGAATCTTGGAAAGTGATACATCTATAACTTTTAACACATTTTAATTGAAAACATGATTAATCCGATTCATGTTTATTGTTTAAAATCATAGCCTATATATTTTCATTGGGTACAGATTCGCCGTTTTGGGTATGGTTGGTTTGTTGTTTAACGCCGCACTCAGCAATATTCCAGCTATATGACGGTGGTCTGTAAATAATCAAGTCTGGACCAGACAATCCAGTGATTGACATCATAAACATCGATCCACGCAATTGGGATCGATGACATGCATCAACCAAGTCAGCGAGCCTGACCACCCGATCCCGACTAACCGTTAGTCGCCTTTTACGACAAGCATAGTCACCTTTTACGGCAAGCATGGGTTGCTGAAGACCTATTCTACCCCGGAATCTTAACGGGTCGTTTTGGGTATGAGTCATCCAGTTGATCATGTTGATTAGGGTACAGTTCTGTATTCTGATTTTTGGTTAGGGTATATATGTATACGGAAAAGTACCTGGAGAACTTAATTGTCACCGTTTGTAGCAGATCTACTCGTGCGGACAACGACACCTTTAGACATAAAAATCTCTCCCCTCAACACCATCGCTTCGTGTCGTCATATAGCTGGAATATATTGCTGAGTGCGGCGTTAAACAAGACACCAACCAACCCATCGCTTCGTGGCAGCAATAAGCGCCGATTGCTTCCATAACAGGATTGACAAGTGCGTAAATATATAAATAATGTATTGACGTGCACAAGAAATGTCCACGAGCAGAAAGTCCAGAACATTTCTGGCAGAATGAGACTTTTTTATGAAGGCCTAAAGCAAGAACTAAGAATGCATCCACTAGGACGATGATAAATATGTGACAATCCAAAGATATTACTGAACAAATACAATGTGTCGTACTGAGCAATTCTCACCATACTCATCTTGGCGTTTTAGAGTGAAACCTTCGAACTTAGCGTTGTTGTCACTGTCGCGTTGGAAAGCACCTGTCCGGCGCGGAATAACTGTAAACTATGTTAAATGAAAATACGGAATCAGCTTGTATTTTAAAACCTATATTTTCTGTATTACACAGAAGAGTGGACGAATATATGTTAGTATTGGTGACACAAATATGTTACAAATGTAATTCAGGAACATCCAAAAAATAATTAGGCAACAGACCACTTGTACTAAATATGGTTTCGTTTCTTTTTGCCGATCATCCATTTATATCATCTGGGTTACTTATCCCGAATAAACGAGATTGGAAATAATTGTAAGTTGTGCTACTTTTATAGATAAAATATATTTGCTTATTGCACAAGATGTTATATTTTAAATTCTTTAGTCACGAGGGTAATCTAGGGGGGAGGGTAGTACCATTACCCATCATCCATCAAACAAAACAAAATGGCGTCCTTGGATGTCAACAAATAACAACACGACAGGCGCATTTGGTTTTATTCAGGGATCGTATGTATCCGTTGAACAATAAGGTTTTGATTTTATAAAATTTAACTGATTCTATATAGAACCATGTTTGGCCCAATTGTTTTAGTTGTTTATTGAACCTGTGAATGTTATTTCTGCTGGAAGCGAGCAACTGGCGAGATCCCTGACATGTCGGGACATAGCTGTCTATATGTAATTGCCTCATCTCTAGCCGCCTTGTGGCTGTAGATGCCGGCGCATCACAGCACACACATTCCAGCCCAAATTGAACCCTTGACTGAATGATTCCAAAGATTACTTTACCAAATAAACTAAGAGGAAGCAGCCTCGATAACCGAGGATACACATGTGGGATAGGCCTGTGGGATAGGCCTGTAGGCCTATGTGTAAGAGCACAGGAATAAGTAACCTTTCGGCTTCGTCATGTTCGTCTACGGGTTTGTTTGTTGTTATTATTAGTTACATGTTCCTGGGGTATGAGGGATGAGACTTAAATAAAAATTGTCTCTCTGTCTTTTGGACCGAAATGTGTCAATTCATGTCTGGCTTCATACATGCAAGTATCGTGATATGTATCGGATACAGTTGGTATATCATCCCAGCCCAACGCTTTCCCCAGTGCAGCCATATATAACACTGTAGTGCAAATTGGTTCAGATTGACCTGTCACTTATCTCACAGACTGCTTTGTGGTCTAGTAGTAGAGCGTCCGCCTGGAGAGCGGAAGGTCCGTGGTTTGATCCCTGGCCTCGTCATACCAAAAGACGCTAAAAGATGGTACTTGTTGTTACCCTGTCTAGCGCTCAGCATCTAGGGGCTAAAACAAGGACTGGTCAGCTCGGAGTCTAGTGGGGTATTCATGTTAATTTGCGGCATGGTATCTCGATGAGCTAGCACTATGAATCAGCATCAGCATGATCAGTCCGGACTAGTACAAGCAGCCACACATATATTGACATGTGTATGCACGTTGCTATATTATAAGGGTACCGCTATTTTTCAGGGCATTATCATTTGCAGAAGCCCGCTGTCTTCCATTAACTGCCCGACAAAGGAGGGCAGTTGAAAAGACCGAAACATAATTGGGGTGAACCGGGATTTAAACCCACAATCATAGGTTTCTGGCGTGCCTAAGGGACGCAACTCTGTACAGCAAAAAACAGCGCCTTAGACTACTGGGCCACCCGTGGTGTTTAAGACTAAACACTAAAGACTATGACTATATGCACCACTCTGAAAAGATATCTTATTCAATAATGTGTTCTTTAATGATGTCAGTGCATCCAAAAATGTAAATATTAATTTATTTGTGCTCCAATGAAATAACAATGAAAGTTACAGATTTTCCTTAAAATTAAATGCTGTATTTCTCCAGGGAGTTATTTAAGAACCGACTGCATTTTATGTTGTGTTTAAAAAAAAAAGACTTTATTTTCAGTCCAGCTGAGAAGAGGCCAGTATGTCTGATATAGAAGATATCTCCTTGGAGGCCGTGGCTCCAGTTGTTCCGGTAGTGGAGATTGGGCGTAGCAGTGGATACCGTTCACCACACGACCACTCAGACCAAGATTATGACTCTGAGTTTGAGTAAGTAACATAGTGATCAAGCAAACCACAACCCGAGTTTGACATATACCGTATTCCATGTAATAAGCGTCCACAGCGATATTTGCTAATATATTGGCTAGTGAACAATCCCAATTAGCACCCCTTCCGATTGATCAATGTACACAAGACTTATTTATTCGCGTATAATAGGCTCTTGTGTGTTATATGCACCCTTAATTATGGGCAGTTAAATTCTGGAAAAATATATCTGTCGTACATAAACATTTCAGGCTGTCAGCATAAACCATAAAATTTATCTTTCAACTCTGTTTTTTTCACCAAAATAATATTCTAATAAGAGCCCCCTATTTCTAATTTTGAGAGTGCCCTGGGCATTTTATTACGTCGAATACGGTATATATGGACCCATGAAGATCCGGGGTAGAAATACTAGAATAGATCTTCAGCTACCCATGCTTGCCCTAAAAGGTGTCTATGCTTGTTGTAGGAGGCGACTAACAGTATCGGGTGGTGAGGCTCACTGACTTGGTTCATACATGTCATCTTATCCCAATTGCGTGGATCGATGTTCATGATGTAAATCACTGGATTGTGTGGCCCAGACTTGATTATTTACAGACTGCCGTCCTATAGCTGGAATATTGCTGAGTGCGGCGTTAAACAACAAACAAACAAAACATATATATGTACTCAGCTTCCTTATTGAAGGGTCACATGAAACATTGAACATATACCAACAGGCGTCAATAGGTCTGAGTATGTTGACAGGGTGATTAACTCTTGAAGACCATGTTGTTTATGCCTGTATCACAATGATTGGATGTTTTAATGAAACTGGAAAAATGGACAAAGACTATTAAAAACAGTGAAAAGTGGAAGATGGAAGGTGCCTTTTACTTGCCTTTTACGGCAAGAATGGGTTGCTGAAGACCTATTCTACCCCAGATCTTCACGGGTCGATTATCTCTAGGAAGTGTAGTGACTTGCTATTGGGATATTATTGTATACATGATATATTAACTGCTACAGTGAACATGGACAACTTGTCATTGTTATCTGTTTCAATCAGAAAAGAGAAAATATTATGACATCAATGTATTTGTTACAGAAAGAATTAAGGGTTTAAAGTGCAAGTAAATTTTTAAAAAATGTTTACGATTTTGTTGCGAATATTAATTTTCCAGTCTTTGAAAGGCACTTAGAAGTGATACACATAAGGAAGAGAATTTATGGTTGTCATCTTCTTTATTATGAGGAACACAACGTTACTCCTTCATCAGGTGAATCACCATATTGCCGGGGCACGGGTGGCCCAGTCGTCTAAGGCGCCGCGATTCGCTGTGCAGAGTTGCGTCCCTTGGGCACGCCAGAAACCTATGATTGTGGGTTCGAATCCCGTTTCGCCCCAATTATGTTTCTAGGTTTGTCAGCACCATACCCGTGCTCGTGGGTTTCTCCGAAGTGGTAAACGTCTGAGACCTGCATCACTTCGGGCTTTCCTCCCACATTAAGCTGACACGCCATGATATAACTGGAATACTGTTAAAAGCGGCGTTAAACCAAACTCACTCACTCACTCACTCTCCATATTGCCTATATATATATTTAATATTCATGAACTGTTAACATGCTAATGAGGAGACAAACATACTACAAATCTGCATGTTGTCTCCATATGATTATTTCAAAAGGCTGACAGTGACTGAGAAAGAAATACTTTTCTATAAATACAGTAAACTACGGTTATAACGAGCTCAAACTAAAGGGCCAACTAATTTTAGTTCGTTATAACTGTAGTTTGTTATAAGCATATATACAGCATATATTCAACAAAAGGAAGGGATCAAAAAACATTTCGTTATATCCACCAGTTCGTTATAAGCATGTTCGTTATAGACATAGTTTACTGTATTAGCTTCTGAGGTGATGCAGATGTTAAATTGGCTGTGATACGCTGTGGAAGTCTTAAAAATAACTCAACAAAACTTAAAGTTAATGTCTGTTTAATAATTGAAACTAAAATTTACACCATATTCAAATTAACCTGCGATTTCAGAAACAGTTTCTAAAATGACTACTTATCACGATTTGTCCTTATTTGACTATGTTTTAGTCAAGTTTATGTTTAAGACTATGAAAAACCCTTTAATATTTGGTTTTATTTAAGTCCTCATTTGACTTTATAAATTAATACAATTGTGCCCTAATTTGACACTGTCAGAGGCAGCCACCGGCAACGTGGCTGCTCTCTACCAAAGTATGACAAAAAAGTGACAAGGCAAGGGACAGAGTTCCCCGCTGCACAACATTTGCGCATGCTGCTGTCCAGAACACTACACCTTCACAAGTGGTGCATTCGCGTGAATGTTTTTTAATCATTTGGCATCCTTCTGTTCAGGCTGTTTCAGTCACTTATTGTGATTTGAAAACTCTGATAGACCTTTCAGAATGAAGTATTTTCCAATTCATGGTAGAGTCACTGTTAGTTGAAACAGAGCATTTAATATTGATTTATTGGAATGTGACATGAGATCGTGTGACTGATCAATATTCAAAGAAAGTGCATGTGTTTATCTCAGCAACTGCTATCATTACACTGCTTGTTTGTGTGGTGCAGGTCAGACGAAGGAGATAATACTCACTCACCGCAGTCCACCTCCAGGCCAAGACGGAGGATGAGAAATATTAAAACTGTAAACGGACGAATTGCGGTGGACATGACTCCACCTGATGACAAACTGAGAGATGCTCAGACCAGGGCCAAGAAATATTCCCGCTTGAAGAAGGTAGATGAATGTGTTGTGTGTGGATGCAAATAAAGATGTAGTTTGGAGTGTTTGATTGGCAAAAAGTAGGAATTACATTGATATATTGTAAGTAGATTATAAACCCCTGACTGATCCCTAATAATGCCCATCTGTCAAAAATGACTGATCCCTACACAACATCCATCTGCAATAAATGACTGATCAATAACAATCTCCATCTGCAATAAATGACTGATCCCTACACAACATCCATCTGCGATAAATGACTGATCAATAATAACGTCCATCGGCAATAAATGACGGATCAATAACAATGTCCATCTGTGATAAATGACTGATCCCTACACAATGTTCATCTGTGATGAATGACTGATCCCTACACAACATCCATCTGTAATAAATGACTGATCCATACACAATGTCTGTCTGTAATAAATGACTGATCCATACACTATGTCTGTCTGTAATAAATGACTGATCCCGACGAAGTTTTCGTCAGTGATACATGACTGATACCCACACAACATCCATCTGTGATAAATGAGTGATCCCTAATGATGTCCATCTGCGATAAATGACTGATCCCTAAACAACATCCATCTTTAATAAATGACTGATCCCTACACCACATCCATCTTTAATATTCCGGGGTAGAATAGGCCTTCAGCAACCCATACTTGCCGTAAGGTGACTATGCTTGTTGTAAAAGGCGACTAACGGGATCGGGTGGTCAGGCTCGCTGACTTGGTTGATGCATGTCATTGATCCCAATTGCGTGGATCGATGCTCATGATATTAATCACTGGATTGTCTGGTCCAGACTCGATTATTTACAGACCGCCGTCATATAGCTGGAATATTGCTGAGTGCGGCGTTAAACAACAAACCAACCAACCAACCAAACCAACCATCTTTAATAAATGACTGATCCCTACACAACATCCACCGGAAATAAATGACTGGTCCCTAACAATGCCCATCTGTGTATATTCAGGAGGACAAAGCTATCAAGGAGTACGTCACCTGCACAGCCCTGGCTCGTATCGTGTACGGCAGCAACCACTGGAAGTTTGCAGCCAGTCACGCTGACCTAGCAGAAGCATATCTCGACTTGAAAGGTACTTCATTTCTGCAGCATGCACATGTATATTGTGTGTCCTAAGACAGGACGTTTTATGTACTTTGTTTACAAAGATGACCAATCAGAGGAAAAATACACAAACAGGAATTAAGGCCAAAAAAATAGTAGTCTTTGTTCTTAGACACCGCCCACATCATCATAAAGTTTGCTGCACATTTCATTTATGTTTCCATTTTTAAAAAAAACAAATAAATCCTTAAATATTCCAAATCCAATGGTAGTCAAATACTGTATTCCAGCCTTTGACTCATCAAGGAATTCATTTATGTAGGGAGGCCCTTTCCCAGGTTGATTGTACACAATTGTTTATTTGGTTACATACTGGTTTGAACAATCAAAAACAAAAAAAAACCGCCGGCCCGCACTATATTTTCAAAAGCCATTGCCTGAGAACCATTTCTTTTATTTTTTTTAAGATAAGATATTTTATTCCTGTGAAACAAACTGACCAGTCAAAGCACCTGCTCACCCCATTTGTCAGATACCTAAAAATCACAAATTGTTGAGTTCTCCCACTAGGCAGTGCTTGTTACCTAAGTGGTAAAATTGACTAATCCTGATCAAACCCCATTTGTCAGGCACCTCATGCGAATATAAGACTCAAAATAATTTGAGTATGACCAAAATATATTAAGCTGCACAAGGTTGTTTTTAATTTGACCAACCCATGGTGGTTAGCAAATGTCTTTAGATCATAATATATTAAAAAAGTGCGACCTGAGTACTGACAAAAACTTTGGCAGCATCTCTGTTAGATTAGGGATGGTGGGGTAGCATTGTGGTTAAAGCGTTCGCTCATCATGCCAAAGACCCGGGTTCAATTCCAGACATGTGTACAAAGTGTGAACCTAATTTCTGGTGTCCCTTGCTGTGATATTGCTGTGATATTGCTGGAATATTGCTGGAATATTGCTGAAAGCGACGTAAAACCATACTCACTCACTCTGTTAGGTTATGTTCATTGTTTTCCCAATCCACCAAGGCGCAATGATTTTCTGTGCGGAGTTGAGCCAGAAAGTTATGGTTTTGGTTTGAACACTATCTTGGTGTACTACTCACACTAGGCAATGGAGGCAGTACCACGCTTACCAATTCCCGAGGCAAGGGAGTTAACTGACTATAAAAGTCCAGTTTCCACCCTTGCCGAACTAGGCTGGTATTATGGAGTTACATTTTGGCTGGACTAACGAGTCTGAGCATAGTCCAATCAAAATCGGGCACCAAATCGAAATCCTGTTCGTTAAATGTCGTGCAGATTTCTGTCAGTTGCAGGATTTGCAAAGTATGTGCACTACTAACTCATTGTCAACAAATATTTTCTAACCTGTAAGACCCGTTTTACCACAATATAGATCTTGATTATCGATCAGATCATTTTGACTGGGTGCCGCAATTTTGTTTGAAACAAATGCAAGTGATAGAGGTGGAATCTGATTGGTCCATATGAGAGGCTTAGAAGGGACATAACTCGTAATACGGTCGAGCCCAGGAATTCCAGCCTAGTTTGGCAAGGGTGGAAACTGGACTTTTAAAGTCAGTTAACTCCCTTCCCTGGGAAGATGCTCTCTTACAGCCCCATGTAACATGTTTAGTTCCACCTGTCTCTCTGTACCAGGCTATGCCGTGCAGGCAGAGTTCCACTCTGACAGCGCCAAGGACATCATGCTGCACGGCGTCCACACCACCAGCTCCCACAAAGAGAAGGCCGACATCTACCACGTCCTCATCCGTGTCTACTACATCTTGGGCAAGGCTCTCACCGTCACCAAGAAATATCCTTTAGCAATAGGATGCCCATCATGAATATTGTGGATATTATAATATCTACCCATAATCTTCACTTGAGCTGAATTTTCTTTTTGTAAGTTGGTTGTCTGTGGAAATATGAATCAAAGAAATTGGCTTTATTTTCGTGGCTGTTCAACAGGCCGACAACAGGTCAGGTGTAGTTGGACTTGAGTCCATTTACAAGGACATTCATACCCGAAAGGGAGATAACTCTAAATGAGCCATGTTTGGTCTTGTAGACTCAAAAGTTTGTGACAAGACAACCTGTGCATTTTCCAATGAAATATTTTTAGTGAAAGAATTCGTCATGTTAAGATGTCAGCAGTTCCTGAAATAATGTTTTCGCTCATCGAGCCAGGCAGGCTGGTGAGCTGTTTGTCTGAGGGCATGACAGGGTTACCTCCCTTTAGTCATTTGTAAAGTTTTTTGTTTTAGCGGCAATTAGTTTAGACAAATGAATTAGCGCCCTTAGTTCTGACTGTGCTGTCCAGCATGAATGATCTCTTTGAAGAAAGTGCAGTATCCCCAGGTATAAAGCTTTCACTGAGGTAAGCACATTTTAAGGTTTTAGTTTACGTCTTGGAAGTCATTGACCAATTGGCACTTTGTCATATTCTCTGAATTTATGAGCGATGACTGTGTGCATTTTTCTTCGGCCTCCAGGGTGCCGTTATACAAAGTGATCTTAGCGCTAAGGTGATCGTAACTCCCATACTTTGACATAGACTTGCAATAGTCGTAGCACTAAGGTTGTTTCGTACAATGGGCCCCTGTAGTATTTGCATCGAGGGATCCCTGAAATATTCCTGTTTATACCATCAAGGTTACAATGACGACCCCTTTGCCTTTCACACTTAAATTGAAACACTGCTGCTGGACTGATTCTGACACTGTTTGCCCCCCTGATTTCGACAGTTTGCCCCGCCTGATTCCAACACTGTTTGCCCCCCTGATTCCGACACTGTTTCCCCCCCTGATTCCGACACTGTTTGCCCGCCTGATTCCAACACTGTTTGCCTGCCTGATTCCGACACTGTTTACCCGCCGGATTCCGACACTGTTTGCCCGCCTGATTCCGACACTGTTTGCCCGCCTGATTCCGACACTGTTTGCCCGCCTGATTCCGACACTGTTTGCCTGCCTGATTCCGACACTGTTTGCCCGCCTGATTCCAAAACTGTTTCTTAGCTGTCAACCCCTGGATGTGCACAGGGGGGCGAAAACTGGTTTTTAATGATTTTTCTCGCTGTGTTGGCTGCAATCGCGATAAATCGAAAGTGAAAAGCGTTTCAAAATATTTTTATCTACATTTTATATGTTAGCGTGAGAATTTCTCAACCTTGCGTGTGAGCGTGACATACGAGATAAATACGTGAGAGTTGACAGGTATGCTGTTTGCCTTAACATTACTACATACAATGAGGCGGAGCAGGCGCTGACGAAGGCAGACCGGATCTCCCAGGAGAGGAGTAAGCTGGACTGTGTGACCGATGACGAGTGTGATGAGATTGACATCAAGCTGTACCATGCCATGGCCAGGTGAGTCCAGACAGATGACCATCTGATATCTTTTCACAATACAGTGTATATCCACATCAATACATGAAAAAGGAAATATTGCAATACATGTAGAATGTTAGATGTCCCGCTAAACCAAATAACTTACAAGCGAATTTCAGGATAAAAGAAGCACTTTGTGTTATATTTGTTTTACTAAAAGGCAAGGTTTCGAGTCAGGATACACCTGGTTCTACTGTACAGCAGTTTTGTTCACTGACCCACTCTGTAGGGCTGGGGTCTCATGATTTAAAGAGTTACTTCCCTTAGAATCCACTCTGACAAGCTCCTTCCAGGGCACTCTCGGTAACATCGTACAGAGTTCTGCGAACGGGATATCTTGCCAACGCACTCGGTTTATTCCGTTAAACTCCCGACGATAGTCGAGGTGTGAGTGAGTGAGTGAGTGAGTTGGGTTTAACGCCGCTTTGAACAGTATTCAAGTTATATCATGGCGTGTCAGTTTAATGTGGGAGGAAAGCCTGAAGTGATGCAGGTCTCGGACCTTTACCACTTCCGTGAAACTCAAACATAGAAACATAATCGGGGCGAACCCAGATTCAAACCCACAATCATAGGTTTCTGGCGTGCCCATGGTACGCAACTCTGTCTATTCACAATTGAAGCAGATTTAGGAAAAAGAGAAGAGAATAGACACTTATTCTGACACTGATTTAGAATAGATCCCGTGAAGATCGGGGTAGAATAGGTCTTCAGCAACCCATGCTTGCCGTAAAAGGCGACTGCTTGTCATAAGAGGCGACTAATGGGATCAGGTAGTCAGGCTAGCTGACTTGGTTGATGCATGTCATCGTATCCCAATTGCATAGATAGATGCTCATGATATCAATCACTGCATGTCTGGTCCAGATTATTTACAGACTGCCATCATAGAGCTTGAATATTGCTGAGTGCGGCATTAAACAATAAACATACAAACAGCAGGACTAGGTATGCAGAAAGAGTGTGTTGCAATATATTGTGCTACAGGTCTCTGTGTTGCAGTAGATGGCCGTATGTTAGGACACTGATTGTACATGCAGATCCTATTTACTACAATCTCATGAAAATCAGATCTTAGTTTTCGCTCCCGCTAAACAAAGATCTGAGGACATCCCATTACGGGTCACGTCAGGCCGACCTTTCGTGAGCTTTGACTGACCTATGAATGACTAACAAGAAGTCGACAACAGCCAATCAGAAGGCAGCTTAATCGAGCTTTACGGCACAAGTTTCAAACTGGTGACTACGCTTCGAAACATTTTGACATAAATTCGATCGAAAAATTTAAAACTGAACAAAAGAACATTCTGGAATGGCTAATAGCTGGTCTAGATTGTATGAATACAGACATAAAGCCCGTAACTGTCGTTTGGAATATTCTGTGGGTGTTTTTTCAAGGTTGCACGAACAAAAATCACATTCCAACTGTCGCTTTCATGATCTGATAAGCGATGCTCTGATTGGTCAGATGAAAGGTCGTTCTGACATGACCCACAATGGAATGTCCTCAGATCTTTGTTTAGCGTTAGCAAGAACTAAGATCTGATTTTAATGAGATTGTATTTACTACATTCTGAAGTAAATATTACCAGCATGATTGGTCACCACCATTTTGTTGTCATGGATACACTGGGGATAACAACGTGAGAGAAAAATCACTTCCGCCATCCTGGCCTTTTGTCAATCAGTTTCGAAGGGAATAGTTTGTGAATGAATATGAGTGTAGATTTTAGGTACAGTGATACAAATAATAACGAAATGATTTTTTTTTACCCAAAATACGGATACGCAGAAAAAATATTGCACTATGTAGCGTATTGCAGTATACTGCTTAAACAGTGTGGTCCTATTTGACTGTAAACTAACCACAGACTCACCATTGCTGACTACCCATACCTCTGTGTGTGCCAGGTTGGCCAGTAAGCAGAAGAAGTATGCTGTAGCCAGTGCCCACTATGACAAGGTGTTGGAGCTGATGGAGATCCGGTACGGCAGGGACAGCCTCCTCCTCATCCCCGTCTACCATGACTACGGCAGAATATCCTTGCTTCAGAGTTAGTGAACAGTTGTCGGTGGTATTCCACCTTCATTAAAGTGGCCTGGAAATAATCAGTCTGTCCTGATAATCCAGTGTACCCGTGAAGATTCGGTAAAAGAATAGGTCTTCAGCAACCCATGCATGTCGTAAGAGGCGACTATGCTTGTTGTAAAAGGCGACTGATGGGATCGGGTGACTTGGTTGATGCATTGATTGAGTTGATCGATGTTCATGATGTCAATCACTGGATTATCTGGTCCAGACTTGATGATTTAAAAGTAGCTGGAATATTGCTCTGTGCGGAGCTAACAAGCAAACAAAGATAGTCCAGTGCTTGGTATTTTGAGCAATGCCCTATATCTAGGTCTGACTGCCTTGAAACATTCAGTTTAGTCTCCTGTTACATTGGAGTACTGGCGACCTATTCTAACCAGGGTCCAAGTGGCTAGTGACCCGTGAAGATCCGGGGTAGAATAGGTCTTCAGCAACCCATGCTTGTAGTAAGAGGCGACTAACAGGATGGGGTGGTCAGGCTCGCTGACTTGGTTGATGCATGCAGCGGTAGAAATTGGCACTAGTCCCGTAGTCCTTGCCAAACTTCCCAATAGTTAAGGTATCATAAAGACCAGTAGAAATTTGCCATTTTTAAGGGTTTCGCTATATGTTATCATTATAAGGACTAGTGGACTAAAACTGTTAGTTTCTACTGCTGTGCATGTCATCAAACCCAATTGCGTTGAGCGATGCTCATGATATTAATCACTGGATTGTCTGGTCCAGACTCAATTATTTACAGACCGCCATCATGTAGCTGGAATATTGCTGAGTGCGGCGTAAAACAACAAACCAACCAAGTGGGTAGTAATAATAATATGGCCACACGGACATGTTCAAAGTGCTGCATGGTCATCACCCTCGATTTTCATTCTCAGCTCCCTGGGGAGTATGCTAACCAAGCTGTGTAGGGGTTTATTGATTTTTGTTTTACCTTGTCTTCAATGTCTTGCCATCAGGCTTTGGATTCTTGCGATGAATCAATTGTTTGATCAGTTGTCTTAAACTTCATCTGCTAACATATGGTTGACCTGATTGTTGATGTGGGGCAGCTACATACTATAAATAGCTCCTCCTCCATGGTTTGATAACCCTGATGGGCTACCACTCTTAGGGAGTGGGAATGAGCAATGCATAAATGCTGTTTTCCTTAATTTGAGTATCTGGAACAGAGTAAAGGTCGTCATGGCAACCATGAGAAGATTATCGAGCTCTTTCTACAAGCACATTCCATAGCTGGAGCCAAGTAAGTATGTTTCCATGAGCAGTTATCCAGGGTAATGTATCTCTGTATATATCTTCTCTTGTAGAGGGGGATCGGGTAGCCTAGTGATTAAAGCATTCGCTCATCACGCCAAAGACCCGGGTTCGATTCATGGGTACAATGTGTGAATCCCATTTCCGGTGTACCCCACCGTGAAATTGCTGAAATATTGCTAAAAGTGGCGTAAAACCAAACTCACTCATTCACTCACATCACGTTTGCCATCCTACGTTATACAGGATATTATATCTCATCGGGGCACAGATCAGTCATCTAAGGTGCTGCAAGTTGCTGTGAGGAGTTGCATCCCTTTGGCATACCAGGAACCTATGATCAGGGGTTGGAATCCCAGTTTCCCCTGATTATGTTTCTAGGTTTGTCAGCAACAAACCCATACTTGTGAGTTTAACCACAGTGGTAAACATCTGACACCTACATCACTTTGGGCTTTGCTCCAATAGTAAGCTGACACGCCGTGATGTTACTGTATACTGTTCAACGCCGACTCACTTGCTTGCTTTGTGCCATACTCCATTATCTGGGGTATATATCTCTTTGTGATCCCTTGTGCCATCCTCCATTATCTAGAATATATCTCTTTGTGATCCCTTGTGCCATCCTCCATTATCTGGGGTATATATCGCTTTGTGATCCCTTGTGCCAGCCTCCTTTATCTGGGGTATATATCACTTTGTGATCCCTTGTGCCATCCTCCATTATCTGGGGTATATATCACTTTGTGATTCCTTGTGCCATCCTCCTTTATCTAGGGTATATATCTCTTTGTGATCCCTTGTGCCATCCTACATTATCTAGGGTATTGTATAATTCACTGAAGTTCTACGTCCTGCCTGTTGTAACGTGTATTGCTGACGTGACTTAATGTCGTATGTGACACATTCGGGAAGCACATGAACAGATACAAGGTAGAAGTCACCTGAACAGTATTTAAGGCAGATTTGTTGTAAATGCTCACTTATTGCCTTCAAAGTACCAAAATGACTGGACCCAAATAGTATAGTATTTTGAATAGTGAGTGAGTGAGTTGGGTTTAACGCTGCTTTTAACAGTATTCCAGTTATATCACGGCATGTCAGCTTAATGTCGGAGGAAAGCCCCAAGTGATGCAGATCTCAGTTGTTTACCACTTCGGTGAAACCCACAAGCAGGGGTATGGTGCAAACATAATCGAGGCGACCTGGGATTCGAACCCACAATCATAGGTTTATGGCGTGCCCAAGGGACGCAACTCTGCACAGTGAATCACGGCACCTTGGACAACTGGGGCACCCGTGCCCCCCTATTTTAAATACCCCCAGAAAACTATGAACACCCTATGTGAATGATAACGTATGAGGCAATACCCCATGCTGTAGCCCTGCATTACCATGCTGTGGTCTTGTTGTCAGCCACAAGACGGGGAGTGTTGAACTGGTGGACACAGCTCTAGCACTGGCCCAGGCCTACGCCAGCACCGGACGGGAAGAGGCAGAAGGTGGGGAACAATGCAATTGCAGGACTGATTGTAAATAACTAATATTTATTTGAAATATCAAGTTTCAGAAAACTTTGATTTTTGAAGCTTACTTTGTGAATCTTGAGAATGGCACCAATTTGTGTCCTGGTGACACATGACACTGTAGACATGTATGTATTCTAAGATTGCTCTGGTGTTCTGTATTTGACACATGACACTGCGAACATGCATGGTATTCTCAGATTGCTCTGGTGTTCTGTATTCCAGCCTCGGCGGAGAGTTATCTGAATGAGTGTCAGGCCAACTGTACGGCAGTCCATGGGCCGCATCACACCAAGACCCTGGAGGTGAACGAGGAGATCGCCAGGCTGCTCATCAGGACAGACAGACAAGATGTACGCAGTAGTATACGTGTAGTACAGTTTAGGTCACATGTCATGACAACTCTGGTCTACAAAGAGTCCAGACTTGATTAAAAAAAGGCAGATGGTGGTAGGGTTGTGCTAATCCATATGTTGGGATAAACTGGAGGTAGATTTCAATTTGATGCCAAGTACTTAACCTGTTCCTTAGAAACATTGTAGGTTTTTCCTCTATAAAGAAACACATTTTTACATCACATAAATAAATGCTTAATGCAAACCTGATTTGGTTGAGATCCTTTGGTGTTATTTTGGAATGTGAGACCATTATGATTTTTGTCAAGTAAAGCAGACTCTGAAGCTGACATGCTGAAGTTACCCAGCTTGATGACGTTGTAAGAATCTACGTACAAAATGTCGTGAAATGCAATCAACCAGGTGTTATCCATTAAGCTGTATGTTTTCACATTTACTCACCAACTTCCAGAATGTTACCTAGACTTTCTTTGTCATCTTTCCAGGAAGCCATGACAATCCTCAAGTCCAGTATCAACCCCAAGTCTGAAGTGTTTGGGGACTACTCAGAGCAGGTGTCAGACACCTACAAGATGATGGCGTCCGTCCACCTCTCTCAGGGAAACATCGAGAAGGCGCTCCGATCTTACAAGAAGGTAAGGTTTTCAGACTTGGGGAAACATCGAGAAGGCGCTGCGATCTTACAAGAAGGTAAGGTTTTCAGACTTGGGGAAACATTGAGAAGGCGCTCCGATCTTACAAGAAGGTAAGGTTTTCAGATTTGGGGAAACATCGAGAAGGCGCTCCAATCTTACAAGAAGGTAAGGTTTTCAGACTTGGGGAAACATTGAGAAGGCGCTCCGATCTTACAAGAAGGTAAGGTTTTCAGACTTGGGGAAACATCGAGAAGGCGCTCCGATCTTACAAGAAGGTAAGGTTTTCAGACTTGGGGAAACATTGAGAAGGTGCTCCGATCTTACAAGAAGGTAAGGTTTTCAGACTTGGGGAAACATCGAGAAGGCGCTCCGATCTTACAAGAAGGTAAGGTTTTCAGACTTGGGGAAACATCGAGAAGGCGCTCCGATCTTACAAGGAGGTAAGGTTTTCAGACTTGGGGAAACATCGAGAAGGCGCTCCGATCTTACAAGAAGGTAAGGTTTTCAGACTTGGGGAAACATTGAGAAGGCGCTCCGATCTTACAAGAAGGTAAGGTTTTCAGACTTGGGGAAACATCGAGAAGGCGCTCCTATCTTACAAGAAGGTAAGGTTTTCAGACTTGGGGAAACATTGAGAAGGCGCTCCGATCTTACAAGAAGGTAAGGTTTTCAGACTTGGGGAAACATCGAGAAGGCGCTCCGATCTTACAAGAAGGTAAGGTTTTCAGACTTGGGGAAACATCGAGAAGGCGCTCCAATCTTACAAGAAGGTAAGGTTTTCAGACTTGGGGAAACATCGAGAAGGCGCTCCGATCTTACAAGAAGGTAAGGTTTTCAGACTTGGGGAAACATCGAGAAGGCGCTCCGATCTTACAAGAAGGTAAGGTTTTCAGACTTGGGGAAACATTGAGAAGGCGCTCCGATCTTACAAGAAGGTAGGGTTTTCAGACTTGGGGAAACATTGAGAAGGCGCTCCGATCTTACAAGAAGGTAAGGTTTTCTGACTTGGGGAAACATCGAGAAGGCGCTCCGATCTTACAAGAAGGTAAGGTTTTCAGACTTGGGGAAACATTGAGAAGGCGCTCCGATCTTACAAGAAGGTAAGGTTTTCTGACTTGGGGAAACATTGAGAAGGCGCTCCGATCTTACAAGAAGGTAAGGTTTTCAGACTTGGGGAAACATTGAGAAGGCGCTCCGATCTTACAAGAAGGTAAGGTTTTCTGACTTGGGGAAACATCGAGAAGGCGCTCCGATCTTACAAGAAGGTAAGGTTTTCAGACTTGGGGAAACATCGAGAAGGCGCTCCGATCTTACAAGAAGGTAAGGTTTTCAGACTTGGGGAAACATTGAGAAGGCGCTCCGATCTTACAAGAAGGTAAGGTTTTCAGACTTGGGGAAACATCGAGAAGGTGCTCCGATCTTACAAGAAGGTAAGGTTTTCAGACTTGGCGAAACATTGTGAAGCCACTCTGAATTTACAAGAAGTGAAGTTTTTCAGAAGGTTTTAGAATGTTCCATGCTATCATACCAGGGACACCAGAAATGGGCTTCACACCTTGTATTCATGTGGGAAATCGAATCCGGGTATTCCGTGTGACGAGGGAAAGCTTTAGCCACTAGGCTACCCCTCTGCCCCTGAGACTAGTGAAAACTTTGGATGACTTGCCATTGTCATCGAGCTATTTGACGTAAATTACAAGTCAGGCATGACCTATGGACTAGTTACATGGGACTTGTGACTCTTGTGACCCTGGTTGCATTCTAACATAATCAGGAGATCAGTAGACAGGTTTTCTCACTCAGCATTGTCCCATACTTATTGTTTCCATGAAATTCAATATAAGCAAACTATTGAGATATTTTGCAATATTTTTAATGAAGGTATAAAAGGCACAGTTGAGGTCTATATTTGACTTACAGAGTTGCATCCCTTGCTGTGCCAGGATTCACTGATTGTCAGTTTCCAGCTCAAATTTCTTGTGACTGCAAGACATCTTCAGACTGGTATTCATCAACATGCTAGATCAGGTTTTCCTCTAAATTAAACTGATATTCTTGAAATATTGTTCAAAGTGGGGTTAAACTTGCTCACTTGTTTTGAAGCTTGTAATCATGACGATTGTCTTTTTTGCAGTGTCACACAATAGAAACACTAGTGCTGGGAAAGAATCATCACAAGACTAAAGACACATTACGGACAATGGAGATGTTGATGGCGTAAGGAAATTTTTCTAATATGAAGTCAAGCTATCAAATGTATGAATACAAGTCGATTTAAGTAGCAAAATGTTTGCTATGTTGATCAACAAATACTGTTATCTTTTACACTACATGTGGCACTACATGGATTCATGTGGCACTACATAGATTCATGTGGCACTATTTTGATTCATGTGGCACTACATAGATTCATGTGGCACTACATAGATTCATGTGGCACTACATTGACTCATGTGGCACTACATAGATTCATGTGGCACTACATTGATTCATATGGCACTACATAGATTCATGTGGCACTACATGGATTCATGTGGCACTACATGGATTCATGTGGCACTACATGGATTCATGTGGCACTACATGGATTCATGTGGCTCTACATAGATTAATGTGGCACTACATGGATTCATGTGGCACTACATGGATTCATGTGGCTCTACATAGATTCATGTGGCACTACATGGATTCATGTGGCTCTACATAGATTAATGTGGCACTACATGGATTCATGTGGCACTACATGGATTCATGTGGCACCACATAGATTCATGTGGCACTACATGGATTCATGTGGCTCCACATGGATTCATGTGGCTCCACATAGATTCATGTGGCACTACATGGATTCATGTGGCTCCACATGGATTCATGTGGCTCTACATAGATTCATGTGGCACTACATAGATTCATGTGGCTCCACATGGATTCATGTGGCACTACATGGATTCATGTGGCTCCACATGGATTCATGTGGGTCTACATAGATTCATGTGGCACTACATAGATTCATGTGGCACTACATGGATTCATGTGGCACTACATGGATTCATGTGGCCCTACATAGATTCATGGGGCACTACATGGATTCATGTGGCACTACATGGATTCATGTGGCTCTACATAGATTCATGTGGCACTACATGGATTCATGTGGCTCCACATGGATTCATGTGGCACTACATGGATTCATGTGGCTCCACATGGATTCATGTGGCTCTACATGGATTCATGTGGCACTACATGGATTCATGTGGCACTACATCGATTCATGTGGTTCTCCATGGATTCATGTGGCTGTACATTGATTCATACGGCACTATATATTGATTCAGGGTGGTCAAGTAGCCTAGGGGTTAAAGCGTTCGCTCGCCACACGGGTTTGATTCCTGACATGGAATATTGTTAAAAGTGGCGTAAAAACATTCTAACTCACTCACTATATATTGATTCATACGTCACTACATCAGTTCATGTTGTCTGTTACAGGAGTCCGGGAGTGTCGTCCAAGTTTGTTTTGAACAAGGAAGATGAGCTGCAAAAACGTCCTCGATTCACAAGCGTTGTCAGTCGAGCTACACCACTGGGTGCGAACAAGCAACAGTAGATGTGCCCTGTCGCCATGGCAGCTAACCTTCTGAATTGTAACCATGGTTACTGTGGCATACATCATGTGGACTAGACGGATCATACCTCTCTATCAAGGCTGTTAGTGGATACATGGGAAGGAACCCAGATGATTCATTGTTGCCATGGCAACATAGCTGGAAGATGGCCCCTGAATAAGAATAGATATTAGAACTGTTACCATGGAAACAACCCTCAATAGATATCTCTTTGCGTCTTTAAAGCACAAGCAGGTATTTCTTGTCACGTTCAATTCAGGATAAGTATACAAATGCAAACAATATTTAGATCTTGCTTTTATTTTTCAAATGTACTTTCAAATGTCATTGTAAGTCTGTGTTAAGCTATGAAGTGATGATAATGGTAGAGCTGTAGGCTTGAATATTTATGTTAAATATTTTAAATGTTAATCAATTCTTTTCCAAATTAGTTGACATATAAGTCTCCTGTGATGCTATATATTATATCTTCTATTTGTGTATATTTATATTATTTATTATCAAGATACCGTCCACTTTCCTAACTCGTTCCCATGATTTGTACAATAGTACCAACATCAGTATATTCAGACTTGGATGAAGAAGCATATTTTGCATGATATTTGTTATGAAAGACCAGAATAATGACATTATGAGGGAGTTACGTAGAAATATCAACGGTAACAATGTCAGTTTAAACCTTTGTTGTTACAGGTTCAGGGTTGGAACTTCACACTAGCCTGCTAGCCCGTGGCTAGTACAAATTCCTGCAGGCTAACACAAATGTCTCAATTTCCTCATTGTTTTAACATAACAAGGGGATTTTATTTAGTGAAGCTTTTTGGTTTAGGTTATCAAGGACTTCACACCATGATAAACATGTAATCCACCCAAAACTAAATATAGCACATTCAGTACTCTTCTTAACTGCTAAGGGGGGCACAGGTGGCCCAGTCGTCTAAGGCGCCGCAATTCGTCGTGCGTCCCTTGGGCACGCCAGAAACCTATGATTATGGGTTCGAATCCCGGTTTGCCGCAATTATGTTTCTAGATTTGTCAGCACCATACCAGTGCTCATGGGTTTCACCGAAGTGGTAAACATCTGAGACCTGCATCACTTCGGGCTTTCCTCCCACATTAAGCTGACACACTGTGATATAACTGGAATAATGTTAAAAGCGGCGTTAAAACCCACCTCACTCACTCACTCACTTAACTGCTAACATGGCATTATCAACTTGTGCCACCTGCAACAAATACAGAAATGACTTTATAAGTTGTAGCAGGATCACGAGGGGTACATGGGGTTTTATGCGTCCCGCGTTAGGTTTTATAACACGAGCCATGTACCCCCTGTGAACCTGCTACAACAAATTTATCTTACCGACATGTCAAATAATTCAAATAAATTCCAAATTGATAGAAACATCTGTTCGATTGAGCTGACGTTAGCTTGCGTTATTTCACGTGACATCCTTTGGCTCGGAAAAAGCGTGCAGGTTTTTGCCTTAAAGCAGGGTATAAAGGAATTATTTTACCTCTCAGAAATGCGCATGCAGTCTGTACTGCTCATGGTAGGGTATAAGAGATTTATTTCCCCGCTGAGAAATTTGTTACCCTTCAAGGTGGATTACACAGTTTTTTATCAAGACTACGTGGACCAATCAGATCTCATCATTCTGACATGGAGGTATTATAATGACCCTTGTAGCATACACAAAATAGAAAGGCTTTTCCAACTGGAGTTATCTCCCCTTATTGTAGCTTACCCCAAAACACCTCCAGAAGTAATAACTTCATCTTTACCATGTTTAAAAATAAATAATGGGTTTATTATCCCTGAAAATGCCGAACGAGTGGTCTCAGGAATGGAGAACAATAATGTCCATGTGTGGTATGTATGAAGATGAAACTGTTTTATACAAACAAATTTTGATGGCCCTCGGTGCCATGAACATCGTTCACATTATTTTAACCTTTGCTCGGCCTTTCATGGAAACATTTGTCCATTGTTAAACCATTTCCATTTCAGATTATATTTTCAGTTAGTATGTTTCATTCCCTTTGATTTATGAAAAGCATCTGCATTCTATAATTTATTGTGAAATAATAAAATTGTCATTTGGATACAATGTTGTTTTATTATGTTTATTAGTTTAAGTTGTAAACTGAAAGGGTTCTGGATCAGATACTGCTATCATTTGACAACACTCCACCCCACCCATCACAATCAACCCCCACCACAATTACACCCCAGCCAACATTCCTGCCACCACAATTACAACCCAGCCACCATCCCTGCCACCACCACCACCACCCCGGCCACCATCACCACACAACAACAATTACATCCCGGCCACCACCACCACCACCCCAGCCACCATTCCTGCCACCACCACCACCCCAGCCACCATTCCTGCCACCACCATCGCCACGGCCACCATCACCACACAACCACAATTACACCCCGGCCACCACCACCACCCCAGCCACCATTCCTGCCACCACCATCGCCACAGCCACCACGGCCACGATCACCACCCCACCACCATTACACCCCGGCCACCATTCCTGCCACCACCGCCTTTTAGGACAAGCATAGTCACCTTTTACGGCAAGCATCGGTTGCTGAAGACCTATTCTACCCCGGAATCTTCACGGGTCGCCACCACCAATTGACTGATATTGATATTCTGTTCTGTGACAAGGACTCAACAGTTGGTTGCAATGTTGCAGCGTTGATTCCGTTTTTTGTTGTGCAAAAGTAATGACAGGCTTTCTGTTCAAACGACGCAACCCATGCACCGTAAAAGGTGACTATGCTTGTCGTAAGAGGCGACTAACTGGATCGGGTGGTCAGGCGCTCATAAAGATACCAATCAGTATGGGATTGAAATGACATCAGATCGATTAAGATCATTGGAATGGGTGACACGATTATCAGCTGTTGTATCATCCATAAATAATGAAGTAACAAGATAAATTGACAAGAAACCATCGATGCTATTGAAATGAAATCTGTGACTTCTGAATCTTCAGCACCGCGGAGAGGTAAAGAACAAAAACTTCTGGATAGATTAAGCGTACGATATTTATACCAACATGGTGAACTCGAAGGAGGCCAACACCATGCAACTGATCCTAATTTATAACATTAGTCGATTGGTTATGAGTGAGTGAGTATGGTTTTATGCCGCTTTTAGCATTCCAGCAATATCACGACGGGGGACACCAGAAATGGGCTTCACACATTGTACTGAACCCGGATCTTCGGCCTGACGAGTGGATGCGTTTAGCGTGCTTCGTTTCTGCTGACAGAACATCATTTTCACGTAAACATCCCTCAAATGAATCTCGGTCCTTGGAATGAAACAGGGCTCTCTCATATCTTTCAGGACTGCGTTGATGAACACCCATACACTATGCTCCATACGTCGGCAAGTGAATGCTAAATATGAAAGCATATCTTTCTTTTTGGTGAGTTCTTTACTCCTTTGAATTTGTCATGACACAGTCATAAACAGTCTTGTAAAGGGTCACCTCAATCAAATTTGTACACCTTAGGATCCTTCTTTACACAATCTCTTGATAGGTGTGTTTAATGACCTTGTAAAATATCGAGAATAAAAGCGGTTTTACTTCAACCCATTTTCCGCAGATGATAGCGCAGTGAGGTTTTTTTTAAAAAAGATTATTAATAGATCTTTTTATATAATAATATAAAAAGTTGCGCATCCATAATCACATACAAATACAAGTTAAATTTACCGGCCCTTTCAGCCTTCTTCGTTATTTGTATACACCCTCACTAGCATTCTCAATTCTCTGACCACTACCATGTGGTTGGTCATCATCTGTGGTGTCGAGGCATAGGGTATACGTCGAGGAAAGGAATTCAGCCAATGATCCAGCCTTCAACAGGAGCCAGATTTTGGCCAAATTTACTTCAGGACAACGCCTTACGGACGGGAGTTTTTTAACCTCATCCCACTGTTGATATGCTCGCATGCCTTGACTGTATAGTTGATTAGGCACACCTTCCTTAGTCACTTCTACTCGATTATGAAGCACATGATTCATAATTGTAAAAACTTGTCAGGCAGTTCCTGGAACTAACACACCACGAGCACCGAGATTAGGAAAGCGAACCATACGTGTCTGAGTCTGATTAATGGTACTCAGGTTATTTATTATAGTTACAGACTGACAAATTGTATTGACTCTTAATGGACCCAAAAGTCTTCTTTGTGGATTTGCAAAGACATTGTTACATTGTAATTATGTTTTCTTATGTTAAATATAAAAATGGATGATATTAATCTAGATAACCTGACAGATACTATTACAGCTTAAGGAGAGACTTTATGGGACAATAAATCTTTATGATCATTATGATGCCTAAAAATAAGATAAAAAATCTATGTTACTCCTGTTGGTCATAACTATTCCAAGTTTACAATAGATAGTAAAGGAATATTGCGACTGTGTGGCTTTCCAGATATTGATCTTATGCATTCTCCTACTTGGAAACCCCAGCATTGTCTACAATAGCTGGGCGTTGTGGTGGTATCATCTTATTCGTAATGAATTAGGTCTTGTAGACTATGACAACTCACAAACAATTTCTTCTGCAAAGACCACTAAGGTTCTTAAAACAGTACGGACGGAACTTTGTGCTGCCATAGAAAAAAGATAATTGAAGGACATACCAAAAGGAGGTTTCAGGTGGACTTGAAGACATTTTGGCCACCTTTGATGATTCTTCATTTCAGGCACCATCCTTGGAGTACAGTTACGAGGTCTTGACAAGGCAATGCAAACAATGCAGGGATCACTCATCTATAATATAGCCCAGCTAGATGAACCCAACAAGCATATAGCTTATGAGAAAACAAACTTACCAAAGCAGATGATGAATTCAGTAGACGTGGTGTTGCAGAATGATTGCATAACGTAGAAGTCGAAAGATTATCCGGATAGTGCAAATGAGTGGATAAACAAGCATTAAGAGGCATTAGGAGCAGCTCCAGCAAATCTTGTTGGGAAAGCCGCGTCTGCACTTCCCGGTATAATAGGGAGGATAGTATCCTGGCTCTTGAATTGATTAGCCAAGACTGCAACTTGGTTTAGTCAAAACTTATTGACGGTACTTGTAGCAATTGTGGGGCTTTTGAATGTAGCCATAAAAGACTACCTAACCAAATAATGAGTAAACCCACTGTGACTCTACCTACTATAAGCAGTCTTTTTTTCTTGATATGCTGTCGATTTTGAGTTTAAATATATGTGGCGGTTGTTCATTTACTTCTGTGTTTGGTTTACTTACAGTAGATGAGTGTGGCTTGACTTCAATTGTGGGCACAGCGACACTTACGATGGACTCAGAGGAATTAGAAACAAGTCGTCTTCAGTGATAATTCCCGATTCAATCTTCGATTTGCTGATGGTAGGGCGAGGGTGTGGAGGCGCCGTCATGAACGTTACGCCCAGTGTTGTGTACAGGAAGTTGACAGATTTCTAGACGGAAGTGTCATGGTGTGGGGTGATTTCTGTGGCAATGCACGTTCCAGGCTTCTTGTCATCCGTGGCAACCTCAACGCTGCTGCTTACCGCGACCAGGTACTGGCACCAGAACGTCTGCCTTTTATGGCAGCACATGGACCCGGTTTGATCTTCCAACACGACAATGCCAGACCCCACACAGCAATTTTGACATGGAATTTCCTTCAGAATGCGGGAGTCAACGTCATGGACTGGCCGTCAAGGTCTCCCGACCTCAATCCCATCAAAGACGTCTGGGATGCTCTTGGCAGAAGTCTGCGCACTCTCCAGAACCAGAGACCATATAATAGAACCAACCACAGAATTTGCAAGATCTTGGCACCATTTTGCAGCAACAATGGCGTCGTCTTCCCAATCATGTGTTCAAAAGCATCACAAGGTCCATGCGGAGGCGTTGTGTGGCAGTTGTCAACGCACATGGTGGCCATACACGCTACTGAACTTGTGTGCCATCAGATTCTCGTGCTTGGGACTTTTGATGTTATTACCGAATACCGTAGATGCTTGGAACAAATTATGGTTACCACCGTTAATTAAAATCCTTCTTTGGACATTAATGATTAAAAATTACCTTCTCTGATACATTTGACCGTTGTATATCATATATGGGATTACTTTAAAATGTGAAGTTTTTAATTTGACTCACTATATATGGCGAGACCTCAGTAACCCGAGTTATTGTCCTCAGTAACATAATGGGTAGATGTTCATCCCAGATTATGGTCAAATGATAAGAGTAAAGTTAACTAATGATTTGATACTAAGACTTCGGTTTATTTTTACATGATAACAGCTTATTTATAACAAGACCGCCTCCGTGGTCTTGTGGTAGAGCGTCGCCCGGAGAGCGGAAGGTCCGGGGCTCGATCCCCGACCGCGTCATACCAAAAGACCTTACAATATGGTACTTGTTGTTACCCTGTCTGGCGCTCGGCATTAAGGGGCTAAAGTAAGGACTGGTCGGCTCGGAGTCAGTATACTGTGTCTGAGTGGGGTATTCATGTTAAACTGCGGCATGGTATCTCAGTGAGCTAGCACTATAAATCGGCATCAGTCCGGACCAGTACAAGCCGCCACACAAACACACACACGTACATGCACGTCGATATAAATGCAATAATCCTGGATGCGACGTTAAACCCCATTTCACATTCAGCACCTTATTTATAACATGTTGAGACCAAACAAAAATTGAAACCAGTACTTGATGGAAGACAGATGGAAATGTGTTGATGTAGAATACACCATCTTCAGAGATACTAGTCCACTTCATGGCATAATGAAAGTATTACAACGTGAGCTTTAAGACATACAGAGAGTAATTATGTGTTTGTTGTTTAACGCCTCACTCAGCAATATTCCAGCTATATGACGGCGGTCTGTAAATAATCGAGTCTGGACCAGACAATCCAGTGATCGACATCATGAACATCGATCCACGCAATTGAGATACGATGACATGCATCAACCAAGGAGAGTAAATAATAAAAGCATAATAATTATGACGATTCTGCATAAGGTGAGCTTAAGACATAACAGGAATAACACTATGACCAAGGGAAAGAACAGGATGTTCTGAAACCAAATACACATGACAAACACGTATCACGTTTACTGACATCTGTACCCACACATGACTAATTCTGTGCAGACATGGATATGTGTTGTTTTCACTCACCCATTCAAATCTACTCTGGCAAGGATCCAAGTGCATTGTCTTGAGAGCGTGAGCAAATATCACGCCAGCCGGATGGGTTTTGCATTACAGGTTTTTAGATTTCTCACAAAGATGGCGCCTGCAAGTTTTCTTAATGCTGGTTTCTGAGTGACCACGGTAGTACACAAAACAGCTTGACCACTGTTCAACAAAGGGTTCACGGCATGCAAGTGCATGGAGTTTACAGAACATCGATCTACGTAAGTGGGATACGATAACTTGCATAAAGAAACACCAAAGTCATCGATCCGATCTCGTTTGTCGCCTCTTACGACAAGCATGGGTTGCTGAAGATCTATTCTAACCTGGAGTTGAGGGAGATCCTAAACTCATCAATTCCGTGATCGCCGGGGTTATGTATGTAAGTATAATGTGTTCAGTTTCTTTCGAACATATAACTAGAGATGGCAGGGCATCTACTTTCTCTGTAGCAGGCAGTTATTGTTATCATGTTGTGAATTCCTAGCGTTATAGCGATTGTATGCAGGTGATGGGCCTCGTAATACCGCTGGCAAGGAAACACTATGAAATCATACAAGTGTTGCGTTCTTGCAGTATCACGTTGTCGTCCTCACAAAGTCAAACAAAGGATTTCAAAATTGACCAAGCATGACAATGCGACATCGCAGCAGTTTGACTTTTTGTCGTGGGTTCAGTTAAACGTAAACATGTATGTATGAATGTATGTATGTGCGTGCGTGCGTGCGTGCGTGCGTGCGTGCGTGCGTTCGTGTGTATGTATTAATGTATGGATGGCATATACATGTGTGATTGTTTTTTAATTTAGTTAAATGTTACATAGGAGCATAACTGTTGTTTTATACAGTGTTTTACTGAGAATTGTTCACCCTCTGCTAAGAAACTCCATGTAATTGTACTTGAACAGCAAAGGACATTTTAATTAATCAAATTTCTTCTTCTTCTCCATTGGAAAAGTCCAATCTAGTTAGGCTGATTAGAACTACTTCTAGGATCACTAATAAGTCAAAAGGGTCCACAGTAACGGAGCTAACTATAAGCTCTCCTATTCAGACTCCCTCATTTGGAATTTAACAATATGACTTAACATGTTTATTCATGTTATATGTTATTATTTTAGTGCTGGTATTTATTGGATTTTGTTGACATGACTCATGTCATTCGAGTTGTTAGTGCTGTAAATAAACATATGAGAAACAATTTGTGGAGTTCTCTACCGCCAAGTCATACAGAATTTACGCGTTGTTTTATTTAAGTTAGGAACATTAATTTTGTGAAGATTAATACAGCATGGGACATAAGTCACTGGACTGTACGCGTTTTTGCCATATTCGCCCAACTATTTTCATAAGCTTACACATGTAGCGTGTGAGGTGAGGTGAAATTAGGTTTAACGTCGTGTCCAAGATTATTATTATGTGTGTATGGCTGCTTGTACTAGTCCGGACTAATGCTGTTTTATAGTGCTAGCTCACGGAGATACCATGCCGCAGTTTAACATGAATACCCCACTCAGACACAGTATACTGACTCCGAGACGACCAGTCCTTGTTTTAGTCCCTTATTGCCGAGCGCCGGACAGGGTAACAACAAATACCATCTTTTAACGTCTTTTGGTATGACGCGGGCGGGGATCGAACCCCGGACCTTCCGCTCTCCGGGCGGACGCTCTACCACTAGACCACGGAGGCGGTCCTATAATGTAAGAACATAACCACTGGAGTCAAGTTCATATACATTCATACGTTAACGGATACCTTGATATTATGAAAATGTTGTTTCTAAAGGTTTCAATAACATTTCGAAATAACGTTCAACAGGACGTTTAATAAAACTTTATAACAATGTTTTAACATTGGACATGGAAGCGTTATATGAATTTGTGTGTTATCTGAATACCTATTTATCTAGATTTATCGACAAAGGTCAAGGTCGGCAGAAGTTTCCACTCACAACATAGAGCTTTCAGTCACATCGAAGTGTAAACAAGTCAAAATAGATGTTTGACGTTTAAATGAACAATTGTTTCAAACATAGATTTGTCCCCACAGTTGTCTATTAAACATTTCATCCCTGAAGATATTTGATGCATAAAAAAAAATCCCATGCGTTTTGTATACAGTCTGTTTTTGTTTCATTGCTTCTCAAGGCCCACATCATAATTTGGCAATTATTGCCATGGTTACAAACACAATTTGCACCCCGAAAAGAAATAAAACGGAAAATTTGCCATTTCCGTTTTCATTGTTTTAGTTTTGCATTTTCAAATTGTTAAACATGCACGTATTGGGGATGAATAATTTAGAGTTTCTTTCCAGGTTTGACCGGGTCCAAAGCAGCCATGGAACCAGTGAACCAAGGTAGGTTGATTGTCGCATGATATGTCGCATTTAGTGACCAGTCTGTGGTCATTGGTAACATTTGTTTATCAGCTCTGTTAACTCATATAAAATGTAGCTGAACACCACTTACTGCGACTTTGTGTACTCTTTTGGAACAAATTATTATTTATCATGTATAGTCTGACCCTGCAAATAACCGCACGTTAAAGTACACTATATTTCTTTTTTGATTTTATACGGTAAGCAGTTTGTGTTTTGGCTAAATGTTCATTTTCTTGTGTATTTGAATTAAAAGCATAAATACATTAATTATTTAACAGTTTAAGACCTGGTTGATTGATTGCTTGACTTGTTGCTTTACGCCGCACTCAGCCATATTCCAGCTATATGACGGTCTGTAAATAATCGAGTCTAGACCAGCCAATCCAGTGATTGATATCATGAGCATCGATCCACGCAATTGGGAACGATGACATGCATCAACCAAGTCAGCGGGCCTGACCACCCGATCCTGTTAGTCGCCTTTTACGACAAGCATAGACACCTTTTACGGCAAGCATGGGTTCCTGAAGACCTATTCTACCCCGGCATCTTCACGGGTCAGTTAAAACCTGGCAACACATATTCTTCTATATGATGAAAAAAAGGTCGGATAGAATATTGTATGCTGTGGCAATCATTCATTTACTTCAGATACTTATTGTTACAAAACGCTTTCGTCTAAGAGTCCAAAGCGTTTCACCAAACAGTATTTTGATATGGGTGAACAGTTCCAAGTTATACTGTCCAGCAAAGTTGAAAGAGATAACTTTTTACTTATCCTGCCTTACTTCTTAATTCATTCATTGCTTACCAATGACAACAAAAGACAGCGCTCAATGATGGCCTTGGGTGGAGAAAAAGATGTTTTCGCTTTCACTCCTGCCTTTTTTTGCATGGGCCATAGGTGGTGTCATGTGATCTTGATGATCAAGTCACCTCACATCACTGAATGTCGAGTAACAGCAAGGACGTCTCTCAGATGAGCTCTTCAGATTGGATTTTTTTAGACCCTTAGCTTCGGCTATTACTCTAAAGTTTATCTGCGATTGGTGATGTATTCCTTTCATATTACCGTCACTATTTTGTGTAATAATATGTGGGTTATTTTGGTGTAAAAATACTTTGTCTTTTTTCCCGCCGCGTAGCTCGTTGTTTCCCGCCATTTTGAATTTGTGTTTACAATTGTTTACCTGCAAGTGTCGTCAACTTGTTTGCAGTTCGTAGCTAAATATTTATAACATATTTATGTGAACTTAAATACTGGTAGCTTTGGCGTTACATAGAGTTTGCGTGTATCATATTATTGTATACACTTTCAACTCGTAAAATATTTGCAGATAGATATTTGTATAATTCTATGGCAATTCTTCACTCCCTATCAATCAATAACTCCGTATTTGCGTAACATATGCTTGTGCGTGAGAAAAAATCTTTCGAAGATCCTCATCCACGCTGTTTGGATTGCACACAGATTTGCTCTTCTAACTTGAAATGTAATTTTTGTTCACCTCTATCTCCATCGAGTTTTGCTATTTATAGAGAGGTCACTTACAAACGTATTTAGCTGAAGTCCCGTCGTGTTGCGAGGAAGATGTTACAGTCGCAGGATGGAAGCAGCTGACATCCTTCTGTCATAACTACACAAACATTATCTTCGGTTGGTAATATGTCTTCCATACAAGTGACTGCAGACGTTTACCCGCCTCCAAGGTCGGAGGCCACTGTAAGTATCATACCTGCTTCTAATTTTCAGGTGTCAGGCGCTTCCAGTGCTACGACCCCTGCGACCCCAGCGCATGTCTCTCATAATGCTTTGATTGGGGTAGCGCAGACACAAGCCATGTTCCAGTTGACAGCGATGGGCGTTGTTTATCAAGGGGTTGCACTGAGAGCAGGGCCTTATTACCCCAAGGCTGATCTATGATTACATCAGCCTATTACGTCAGCAACGCATGATCACCTTAGCGCTGTTCCACCTACTTATCCGGAAGCTCAGCACTTGTACGCCCAGCCGTTGGCACCGTACCAGAACAGCATTGGATGCAGAATTTTATGCCATCCATGTAGCAGCAGTCTATGGCACATCTGTACCCAGCGCCTGTGCCTATGTACCAGACGCCAGCGCCAGCTTCAAATCTTGCGCATGCATTAGCACCTACACCTACACTGGTGTCTAACATTTACCAGCTGCCTGATGCGCATTCTGTTACAACGCATTCACCATTGGTTTGCACCAATACTCCAGCGAGTATGTGGATATCGTCACATGAGTCCTTATCACCAGGCGTTTCTTCAAAGCCTTCAGATAGAGGAGATGAAAACGCATCTCAGCTTAGCACAAATGCCTGAGTGGGAAGCAGACCGTGTTGTGTCAGTTGCGCCTTCCCCTGGTTAAGGGGTTGATAAGAAGGATACCATTTGGTCACATCCCACATCAAATCCGATGGATCCGATGTTGACAGATATGGTAGGGTCACTGGTTGAGGATTTCTCAAGACTCACACATGCTCCATCATTTAAACCACCAAAGTTCAGGAAAGATGATTTTCCTATTCATGCCTCTTCGGTAGCAAATCAGGCTCATAGTTTGGGTGTAGACATACAAAGGATGATGGTCAAAATGCGAATGATTCACAATCCCTCAAAAAACGTTATCTGATGCGTCCGCCTCACCATGTTGAGACTGCTCAGACACAGCATCAATGTGTTCGACTCCCTGATCAGCCTCGACTTGCAGGATGCTTACCTGCATATGCCTATCCTTTCCTCCTACCACACGTTCCTCAGATTCCTGTTCAATTGGGTACACTACCAATGGGCAGTCCTCCCATTTCGCATTTCGGTGGCCCTGTGGTTATTTACATGAATAATGAAGCCTAAAGCTGCATTTCTACACCTGAGGCCCATTTGGTTGGGGTCGTACATAGACGACTGTCTAGTGTGTCATCGAGACACATCGAGACACACCAACGTTAGTACGCCATTGGGAGTTTTTAAAACGGCTACTATTTCAAATAGTGGGTAATCAACGAGGCAAAGTCAGATTTAACTCCGAACTAGCAGCTTCAGTTCATAGGAGGCCTGTTCCAGACAGACCAGGACCTCCTATCAGTACCGAGGGACAGATGGGTAAAACTTCTATGCCACTTGCTACCTGCTCTGTACCAATCATGTACACATCGCCAGTAGCAAGTGTTGCTAGAGTTGCTAACTTCAACACATGACTTAGCAAGCAGAGGCTGCTTACAGCTGCGTCCATTCCAACAATTCCTGAATTCTTACATCAGGTGTCAGGCCATCACTCTACCAGTCCGTCTGAGGCCATTCCTCAATTGGTGGACTCTTGTCGAATGTCTTAGGAGGAGTTTTAGGAGGAGTCTCCTTATCCAGGTTAACCCCGGAACTACATCTGTTTGTAGAGGCCTCCTTTGAGGGGTGGGATGCACACCTCAAAGGCCAGACAGCCACAGTTCTGTGGTTTGGCACTCATCAAAAGTGGCACATAAACAATTTGGAGTTAGAAGCGTTAATTCTGGACAAAACCCTTTGGCAGAATCAACTACAGTCCGCTCAACACCAAATATCCACAGACAACAGCACTGTGGTGGGGTGCCTGTGCAATCAGGGGACAACACACTCCCACTCCCTTCTTCAACAGATATTCAGGTTCTTTCATCTAGTGAATCGGTTGGAGCTCCAATTCATATTGGCCTATGCCTTATCCTGACCAGACAGGGTGGCTCCCTCTGAGTGGAAACTTCACACAGAAGCATTTCAATTGATGCTTCGAAGGTTCAGGCAACCAAACATTGATCTGTTTGCAACTTGCCAAAACCACCAACTTGGGAAGGAATATTAAGCGTACACTTTTCCGCCTCCTGTTCTACTTTCCAAGGTGATACAAAAGATCATAGAGACAAGGAATCTTGCTCTGATTTTGATCACGCCTTGGTGGACGGCGAGAGACTGGTTCATCAAGCTCAGAAATCTAGGAGAAGATGATCCACTATGCCTCCCACAGTGGTCGAACCTACTCATCCACCCTCACAGCAAACTGCCTCACCAGATGCCAGACAGATTTCGTCTGCACGCTTGCTTCGTCTCAAAAGTGTGTATAAGTGCGAAGAGTTTTTGGGCACGGGCAGCTAATTCTATCGCATTATACGATGGGGATCTATTAAAACTTTTGGAAGGAAAAAATCAAGAACCTAAGACAGCGTTACCACAAAACCCTTGACAGGTAGCACCATTACTACTTATTTGATAGCACTTAACTCAGTGTTGGCAGTTCTGGAGGATCGCAAAATTACCAAGGTCCCGAAATTCAGGACCTTTTACGCTCATTTACGCTTGAGTATCAGAAGGGCAAATTCCGTCCTCCTGCTTGGGACTTGAATATGGTCCTCCGAGGTTTGCGAGCCCCCCTCCCTTCCGGCCCCTCTATGCCTTCTCCTTTTTTTACCTTGCCAAGAAAACAATATTTCTCTTGGCTTAAGCCACTGCGGCACAGGTGAGGGAGTTGCATGGTACACACAGAGCAGTTAGATCTCGGTTTGTGCTGGGAATTTATAGAAAAAAATCTACCAGGCCTCCCTGATCGTTCCTTCACTATCCCACCAGTAGAGACGATTTTGGGAGTTGAAGATGAGGGTGAACTCCTCTTATGCCTGGTACAAACACTACGAATTTTCATCCGTCGCTCAAAATCTAGGCATGGTTCGGGGAAACAGTCATACATACGCGTCTCTCCTGCGTCCACCACTGAAGTAAGTCACTACACCATTTCTCTATGGTTATACGCAGTCATCCTTCAGGCTTATGAGATTGCCAAACTTGACCCACTGAGAGCAAATAATCCTCACGGGATCAGAGTGTTAGCCTCTAACATGGCGTTACATAGTCATTGTTCTATTAAAACGATCATGGAAAGATGTTTTTGGAGGGCCGACACAGTTTTTGCTAGTCATAATCTTCGTAATGTGACTCTTAAGGAGGATGAAGGCTTGCACAGTTTTGGCCCTCTGGTAGTAGCCCAGCAGGCAACCGGCCCTCAACACAAATAATGAACTCTATTTCTCCCAAAGGTCGTATGAGACACGCCCAATGGAAGAAATGAGGACAAGTCTTTTTGTTCAGTCTTTGGCTCGTTGACACAGTGGGTAAAGATTTAAGCCTTCGCTATTATTCTTTATTACTAGGTGTGTACAGGGTGTTTCCCATTAATTCTTATGTTACATCTGGAAACAAGATTGAACTAACCCTACCGTTATGGAGTTTTTCCACCTCACGGATCACTGACAAACATTTGTTTTTTTTGTGTGTTAATTATTGAGGTTTTTGGACATTTGAACATATACCCGCCTCTGAACCGTCCGACAAGACATATACTTTTAAAAAAAAAGAAACCCAAAGCCAGATTTGTGTGAGGTAGGAAAATACATTTATAAGAGGAACTGTACAAGGTATTGAGCCAAAATGTTGTGCAACGCACAAGCCAACTGCTGCAACGCCTGGGGTCGTGGTTGACGTCGGCATAGCCATCTATCCAATTCAACCCACAGGTGCTCTATCGGGTTCAAATCCGGGATCTGGACAGTCAGGGGAGAACATAAGCGTTGTTGTTGTGTAGACAAGCTCTTATGATCCGTGCTGGAGGCGTTCGAGCGTTGTCCTGCTGGAATACACAGTTGCCGCTGGCTGCAATTGGGAGGACGTGTGGTAGGAGAAATCCGTTGATGTATCGTTGAGCCAAAATATTGCCCTGGATTTGGACCAAACCTGTCCTGCCATGATGACTGATAGTTGCCCACATCATATCGCTACCCCCGCCAAACCTGTCCACTTCCTGTACGCAGTTTCCGCAGCGTAATGTTCTTCCCGACGTCTGTAGACTAGTGCTCTTCCATCCACTCGACGGAGGAGAAATCTTGATTGGTCGCTGGACCAGACATCTCTCCATCGCAAGCCATACCCTGTGTTGACGATTCTAATGCAGTCGTTGTTGATGATGTTGTCAGCTCAATATGACGCGTCGAACAGGACGTCTTGCTCGTAGACCTGCTGCTCTTTAACGGTTTTGTACAGTCTGGTCGGAGATTCTATGCAGTCCAGGTATTTGGTATGCTATTTAGGTGGCTGTGGTCGTCCTTTCACATAGGTGGCATAGTCAGATGTAGCAATCTTGGGCGGGGGTGGTTACCCTTGGTCGGCTCAACCTTGGCCGATCTTGTGTTGACCCATGCTGTTGAAACTGATCCCAAAGCCTTGTGATGGTGATGGGCACAACATTGAAAGCCCTGGCTACAGCTGATCAGGATTCCCCTGCCTGCAAGCGGCCTATGATATTGTTTCTTTGCACTTCTGTTAATCTTGGCATGTTGTTGAACCGTCACTGATTAACGCCGATGCCAGGCAATCAAAAACCCTGCACTTTAATACCGTTCATAGTCCATGTCCCTTTTGTTAATGCACTGGGTGCGTTTTTCCGAATCGTACATGTTTCCCGACTCATGGTTTGCACGTCCTTGTGATAATTTTGATCCGGGAAATTTGTCACTGACACAATAGCACATGAAACCTCTTCATTTTGCACCTCTTGGTCTCCGCTAACTTTGCTAAAATGACCAATCATGTCTGTATTGCGTTTCGTTTTTTGAAGAGTATATTAAGGAGTAATGCAGGATAAGTAAAACTTTTGGTAAAATCTAAATATGTTTTACATTTGTATACTTATCTTGCATTACTGGGTCAAAGGGCCCACCCATCACAGGCTTGCCTCCCAACTTTAGCTTCAGAAAACCTCAATGATTGTTTTTTAAAGCTTAAGCGACAGGCAGTGATGTGAGGTCACGACAGTGACGATGGTCCATGCAAAAAGATATTAGATATTACTAACATTGAAGTATTATCACAGTGTATTAAGTGTTAGTTCATAGTATGTAATGAATAGCGACAACACCTTCGTCATATTCATAAGAAATCCCTGCCAGAAACAGTCGATTGTAGGATTCAAACTATATCATGAGCATGTGTTTATGAAGAAATCAAATAGTGTGAGATCAGGTGTTCGCAAAAACCTGAGCATATCCTGGCCCATCGGTGTCGCCCATCATAAACAATTGTTCAATTGTTCACCTGAAAAAACATATGGTTCACGTTGAAATAGGGAATTCCATCGGACACCATTTTTGACACTGATGCCCCAAATTTGGAAATGTCTTCCACGTCACCAATAGCGAGTTCTAAAAAAGGTAGGGGATCATGAGATATAAATGTCAGATTCCAAGTATTAGATCAAAGGTGTCTCTTGATGACAAACATCTTATTCAAGAAATTTATGTCGTGAATATATAGTTTGGACATGCCTCACACAGTAGCCACACTTGCCTAGAGTTTCATTCCTGAGTTTGACCCCTTCGAGGAATATAGATTAATCTCTGTGGACCATTTATTTCTGTCAGTCATATTGATTCTGCTTATCACACTGTTGGGATTTGCTTGATGTCATTCGTGGTTTGTGTATGAACTGGCGATGCATCTACAGGCTATTGGCGTACAGTGTCCAAGACGTTCAATGTTTCACAGTTTGTAGTACAGGTTCAACTGCAAGAGCACACACTGACACTCTTTGTTATCCCATTTGCAAAGAGTGGGTCTGTGTTTTGTCTTTCAGGACGACAACGCCCGTGCTCACCGTCAGTTCTCGCCTCCATTGGCACAACATCCATAGAATGTTATGAGCCCAAACCTCTCCTCCACTGAACACGTCTGGGACTTGATAGAGAGACGTGTGTGTCAACGTCATAGACTGCCGACCACTTTGGCTGAACTTGGCCAGGCACTGCGAATGGAGCGGGATAAATTCCCCAAGATCGCCATTGGGATACGCATATGCAGTATGCCTCGTAAACTGATATTGCAGGAATACTGCTAAAAAGTGGCGTAAAACATACTCACTCCCTCACCCATTCTGTATTTTGTACTGTTGGTCATTTGTAGTTTATTGTTTCCAGGAGAAAGAAGTGTGTTGAACTTTGGGACTATTGGTACAGTACTAACGGGTGATCAACATACCCATCCTACAGGTGAGATATTTCATGGTAATCTAACGCTAATTTCTGAAAATGTCTTAAGTAATCTTCATTCTTGTATTTAGAATGTCAATGTAAGATGACCCAATGTCATGTAAGCGCATCTAACAATGCCGATACTACTGTTTCTTGTTTCATTTACAGACGATTGCAGTAGGCAACGCTTTATCAAACTGTGTGGTGAGTATGAGGGGAATTTTAAATTTTAAATCGTGTCTATGTTTTATCGACTAATCTAAAAAGCAATCTAAAGATATATATATATATATATATATATATATATATTATATATATATATATATATTGTGTGTGTGTGTGTGTGTCTGCTTGTATTAGTCCAGACTGATGGCGATTTATAGTGCTAGTTCACTGAGATACCAGTCTCAGAGCCAACCAGTCCTTGTTTTAGCCCCTTAATACCGGGCGCCAGACAGGGTAACAACAAGTACCATCATTTAACATCCTTTGGTATGACATGGCCGGGGATCGAACCCCGGACCCTCCGCCCTCTGGAGTTGGTCTTATTGCACCAAGTACATGTAGACATCACACGAAGGTTAAGGATGAACAATCAAAGTTGACATGAAAAATGCTAATTGACAACAGCTTAATATAGTAATGTAGTTACAGACATGTTTGTCGTAAGAACGGTGAGAACATACTTTGTGACTATTCAAGCCTTGTGAAAAAACATTGCTGTTTTGGAGCAGCCAAATAATTGTTGAATTATAGGCATATTATAACCCAATTATGTGTAAGTTAATGATAGTGAAATATGTGCTCTCTAAATTTCAGATAACACCGCCAATGAAATCAAGTTATTTACAGAGGATATGATAACAATATCAGCTGTTGACAAAATTGCCGAACAGCTGATATCAGGTGTGAAATGGATACCAATAACTGGCAGTCCTGGAGAAGGGAAGACAACTCTAGGCTACCTGATCCTGAAGGAGATGAAAGAGAAAGGATGGAATGTTTGTGTACTCAATCAACCAGAGGATTATGATACAGTACATTCATTTGCTGAGGGAAAGACTCTGTTCATGCTTAACGATGTCTGTGGACCATTTGCATACGACCCTTTTGCCTTGAGTACGTGGAGACAATTCATTATTAATGTACAGGAAAGGAAAAGTCATCAAGATACAGAAGCCTATATTTTTATAGGTAGAGAAAACGTTTTCAGGGAAGTTCGAAGACATTTTGGAAAGCACGAGGAAAACATTTTTGGTAGATGGTTTAATCTGAGTGACCAGGATTCGTTTCTGTACAATGAACGTCTGTACATTCTCAACATGCACTTGGATAAAGGCAAAGTCAATGTGAGAGAGATCGACCAGGAAACAGTGTGTTCACATACTGGTCCACATGGTTTTCCTCATTGTTGTAAGATGTTTGTTGAACTAAAAAACAGGGGAACAGACGTAAACATTATTGAATTCTTTCAAAACCCTCTTGAGTTCCTGGGTCAAACTATCAAAGTTCTTCTTTTGGAGAAACACACAAACATGTTTTTGAAAGAAATGATAATCAACAATGGGAAGTTTGATGTTGATGAAGTTGAAAATGATGACAAACGGGGAGAAATAAGAGCTGCCGAGAGAAGTCTGTTTGGCAGCTATGTGAAACTTGTTAATGGTGTAACTGTGTTCACCCACCCTTCTATATATGAGAGTGTTGCCTTTGGTATCGGAAGGGATGATCCTCTGTTCATCATACAGCACTGCAACATACCATTCATCTTGCAAAGAATGAGGAGGGAAGATCCAATGAGTGACGTATGTGCAAAGGGTGAAAGCCCAAACTACCTTCGAATACATGTCTCAAAGAAAGCTGTACTAAAGTATCTGGTTCCTAAACTAACACGGGCCCTCACAAAGGATTTTCGTGTTCTACAATATGATATCTGCCATGATGAAACAGTTTGCAAACACATATTTGAAGAATTTGTGAGAACTTTTCAAGGCTTGCATTCAAGTGCCGAGGTAGGTTTTAATTAACCCTTGGGTGGGGCAAATATACATGAACGTGAACATATCTTTATTTGGACATCCCGGTTTTAAAATACTTTTGGGAAAATACATGCTTTCTGAAAAGAAAAATTACAAGGCACCCTAAACTTTATGTGTTAGTAAAAGATGCGATTGAATCATTCAAAAGTTACAGTGGTGAATGGTTGTGACTGAACTGCCGAGAGGTGTAAGTGGTTGACACGTATCGAATGGTTGGGACTGAACTGCCGAGAGGTGTAAGTGGTTGACACGTATCGAATGGTTGGAGCAGTCACGTTTGCTCTGTCAGCGGCAACATCTGAGCAGGTACGACATTATTTTCATTGGTGCTAGATTCTTGTCATTCCCGAAAACAAGGCATCAAAGTCAGTATCGCTCAACAAATCAATTTCGTTCACCTCAGTAATTTTACAGAATTAATTTTCTTCACTTGCGTTATAAGTATTGAAAGATAGCCATTCCATATCCAAATCACAGCAAGGACAATCCACTCTGTTTCATGTAGCAGCTAGAAGACATCAATCACCAGAACCAAAGCATTTATTTATTTATAAGTCAGGTAAAATGTTACAAGACCAGGCAAAAATACTGAATTAATTATATTGCTGATAAATGCAGGTATTAACATGAAAATAGAAAAACGAGTTTGTCGTAAACACCGATCGAGAATGTGGGAGAAACCCCGGAAAGTTGTTCCAGCAAAAGTGCACACGATCAATTTCACAAACAATTGTTCACATCGTGTGAACTTTCTTTGTCCATTCACGGGTGTGTGAACTCCAAATATCAGATCATGTGACTACCCCTTCAGCCAATCAGCAAGAAAGAAACAGTGTAAACTTCAAAGTATGAAATTATTCTCAAATGATACGACCTAAATTTTTAAAAATGTTCTCGTAAATGTCTTATATCTGTAATTAGGTTGAAATGATTAAATCCATGCCACATTGTTGATGTTGAAACAGTGTTTAGTGATCCCATATCATTCATGTCATCTTGTACCAAAAAGGGTTTATACAGAGAAACTCCTCTGATTGTTGGGTAGAGCTAGAATCTTGGCTGCATAGCATGGCATATCCTGTTTTGTTTAACATTTTTTAATATACTGAACAGCATTGAAAACGCACCAGCAATAAATCTTGAAATATTACAAAAACAACTTGAGCAATCACAGATTTTAATTAGAACAGACATAGACGGATAATTAAGAAAGACGACAAAGGAAACAGGAATATCACACAGTAATGACATTTACGTCATCAGTGTATGGAAGACACATAGGGTTAAAATGAAAAGTCAATATCTGGTATGTCCGCCATTGGCAGCAACACAGGCCATGCAACGTCTTCTCATCGATCGAATAAGTCTGCGAATAGTGTTCTGGGGCATTCCACTCCTGACGTAGTGTATCTTCAAGTTCTCTCAGGTTCCGTACTTGCGGACGACGTGAGAGGCGTTGACCGAGGCAATCCCATAGATGTTCAACTGGCGATAGATCGGTTGACAGGGCTGGCCATGGAAGCAGAGGCACATTATTGTTCTCCACGTCGACGCCACACTCTTGTGTCAGTACCCTTTACATCTGCAGCAACAAGTGATGTGGCGTTTAAAAGTCTGTCTTTTATAGCCCTATTCTGCATGCTTCCCGTGAAACAAAACACGTTTTTTACATGATGTGCACGCAATTTGTTGCGTTTTGGCGATTTCGCTCACAAAAAAATTAGGAATGTTTTGACGAGCTGTTCTTCTTCATGCTTCGTCCAGAACGTCACACATTACTCATTCACTTATATATTTTCACATGACTTAAGCCCGGATAAAAATACATCCATTTTCATGGTGGTGCGTTTTCAATGCTGTTCAGTATATATGGAAATGAATCGTATTAATGGTCTCTGTGTCATTCTCACTACAAGGCCTTTTTGGTACGATAACTTCAGGACATGCTTACAATTTTCTTGAACACATGGTGTTATCACTTATTTTCAGTGATCCATTCACACAGTATGTCATCACAATTTTGCCTCCAATTAAATCTGTTTCAGAAGCCACTCGAGACGGACTATCTTCTGGCTTTGGCGTTTTTTAATCTCAGTTTTAGCTGCATTGATCTTTTAACCTTTTCAGGTCACCAATGTCATAGACGTCCATGACATATTCGAGGAAACTCTACTGCTTGCAGCTGCGAATGTTTCTAACCTAGTATCTGTTAAAACATTGTTAGATATGGGTGCTGATGTGAATGTCAGAAACAGAACTGGGCAGACAGCACTTCACTTAGCCTGTGAGGCAGACAGAATAGACGTCCATCTTATCCAGTTACTCCTTGCACAGGGTATTTGTGTCAACATGGTTGATAGAAAAGGAAGGACAGCTCTTCATGTAGCATGTGAGGCAAACAGCTTGGACGTCAGCGTCCTTGAAGTTCTTCTCAAAACTAATTGTGATGTCAATATCACAGATAGCTCAGGAGATACAGCTCTTCACAAAGCATGTAAGGGCAATGATGGAGACATCTGTATTGTAAAATTACAGATACCCCCCAAAGCTGACATCACCGTACCTGATAATGAAAGTCGCAGGTCAATCGTGAGAGTATGTAGAGCAGGTTTAGATGCGAGGGATATTGTGCATCTCAGCACCCAATCTGTTGACATCAATGTCCCTTATTCTAATGAAATAACAGTACTTTACTTATTGTGTGTCGGAAATAGTATGGATTTCGATATTATTAGGTATCTGTCACATGCAGGAATTAAATATAGAATCGAAAATCGGAGAGAAGGAAAATCACTTTGCATAGTCAACAGTGAAAAAAGTGCTATACGTTCATTTGAAGCAACTATCACAAAAGGGGCTGATGTGAAGATAGCAGACAGAACAGGAACAACAGCACTTCATCTAGAATGGAAGAATATCAGTATGGACGTTTGTGTCATTGAGGCACTCATCAAACACCCTACTGATGTCAACATTGTCAATAAAGATGGAAAAACTGCACTCCACTTTGCATGTGAAGAAGAACGTGCAGATGTCCGTCTTGTGAACCTGCTGGTCATGCACGGTTCTAGTGTGAATATTGCCGACACGGAAGGAAAGTCACCTCTGCATTATGCATGTCTTGGAGACAGTGTTGACGTTGTTGAGTTTCTTGTTGCACATGGAGCTGATGCTAACATGACTGATACAAATGGAAATACAATACTTCACTTGGCATGTCTGAGACATGGTATCAAGGCCTGTGTTTGTGAGGTACTTATCAAACATGGCGCTAATGTCAATGCCACTGGTAACTATGGAATGACAGCACTTCATTTGGCCTGCGACACTTCAGATGTAGACATTGGTGTAACCGATCTTCTCATACAACACGGTGCTGATCTCAACATTCTAGATGAAAAGGGAAGAACACCTCTTAACATAGCATTGACAAACTCTCATTCAGACTTTCGTGTCATTAAGTCACTTGTGACTAAGGGTGCTGTTCTCGATATCAAACAAGATGGAAAGGCAGCACTTCTGCTAGTCTGCAGTAAACATAGGGTAGACGTCCGTGTTGTTGAGCTACTTCTCAAACATAGAGAGGATGTAAATGCTGTTGATGAGAAAGGAAATACAGCACTTCATTGCAGATTATCTATGATTAACAGCAACGATAAAGATGTTATAGAACTTCTCATCAATCATGGAGCTGACGTCAATATCGCTAATCAAAGGGGAAATACACCACTGCACTTGACATGCTCGAGAGTGGGTGCAAGGCTAACATGGGACGGCAGAATGTCATATGAAAAAGCATATGAGATTCAACATGAACAGGACATCCATGTGCTTGAGTTACTCGTGACACATGGTGCTAATGTCAATGCCGCTGATGGATGTCAAAGGACAGCACTTCAAAGACAGTGCAGGTTGAGAAGTGTAGATGTCCGTGTTATTGACTTACTCTTGAAACACGGTGCTGATGTCAATGTCACTGACGAATATGGAACCACAGCCCTTCATGAAGCCTGTGAGACTGGTATTGATGTAGCCTATCCAAATAATTATAAGTCTTTTGGTTTTGAAGGTGTTGTTAAGGAACGGTACCGAATTGCAGATAACATGAAGGACCATAAAGACACTGGTGCTATAGAGTTGCTCATCAGACATGGAGCTGATGTCAATGTCACTAACGAATATGGAACCACAGCCCTTCATGAAGCCTGTGAGACTGGTCTTGATGTAGACTATCCAAAAACGTCTATGGGTTTTGGAGGTTTTGTTAAGGAACGGGACCTAATCGCAGATAACATGAAGGACCATAAAGACACTGGTGCTATAGAGTTGCTCATCAGACATGGAGCTGATGTCAACAAGGTTGATGCTGGAGGAAAGACCGCACTTCACTCAGCATGCGAAGACCACAGAGACTTCCATGTTATTGAGTTGCTCGTTAGAAATGGCACTGATGTCAACGCGGTTGATGCTGATGGAAATACAGCCCTTCATATTCTGTGCAAAGACAAAATAAATGTGAATGATGAGCTATCCATTCTTGTGAAAAGTGGCGCTGATCTATACAGACAAAACAGAAAAGGTTGCATTGCATATTGCGTGCAGAACAGTCATCATCTGGTAAGTGTAGCACATTGTCTGTATTCAGGAAGTATATACATCTGACTATTAACTATTCAGTTGTCTGTCATTCCTGTTCCTTTTGTTACAAAGAGTTATACATCAGCAAATTCAATTTGTATTACTGTTCATAATAATTTTACTGATCGTTGCCCTGTAAGACTAATGTGTACACTGCATCAACGATCTTCTTTACTCCAAGAGATATTTTGAATATTGTATAAATTTGTTTTGATTTGAGTTATGATACCATACCATCTGTACATTCGATATCGCCCTACATACATAATCCTTTCCCGACAACGGTAACAAACGGTTTTCCATAATTATAAGGTATAAGGAGTACTTTGTAAGACTCCGACATGAATTTGATTGATTGTTAATTTATAAAACTAACTGTTATGTGATTAACAAATGTATATTTCAGCCAAACGATGTTAGGGTTCACTACACCGAGTTGATGATGGCAATACAGAAAGGTGATTTCCCTGCAGTCCATGATCTCTTGGAGCAGGGAGTCCCCATCAATACCACAGACAGGTTCGGACGCACGGCTCTCCACTACTTGTGTCTAAGTGACCACATAGATACCAGCGTTTTGTCATTAATGGCGTACAAACAATATGTTAACATGCCTGACAGGTTTGGTAACACAGCTTTACATTGCTTGTGTAGGCGAAGAGACAAAAAGGAAATTGTAAATATGCCACGTCTTCTCAAGATTCTCTTGAAAGCTGAAGCTGACGTGAACGTGCGAGATGAGTTTGGTTTCAGTTCTCTATATTACCTGCAAGGAGTTATGAGTTTGAAGATGTTGGACTTGCTGATGATACACTGCAGCCAACTGAACGAGAACATCGGCAACGGTCTAACTCTCATGCACAGTATATGTTCGGATGAGCAATGGGAATGTCTCGAAAGGATCATCAGTGAAGCTGATGATATGAACAAACAAAGCAGCAAGACCCTGTATAAACGAAAAAACCTCAAAGTTCTTCCACACGGCTCAACAGCTCTACAATTGGCGTGCATGTCAGCTACCATTTCCGAAAACAATGTGCAGATGATGATACACAAGGGAGCAGATGTTAACATCAGCAACAAAAATGGGCGGATTCCTTTGCATGTTCTGTCTTCAGCACTTCCGGACATCATTTGGAATGGAAAGTGGTTACTGAGAAGAAGTAGGGACCAAGAGAAACTGCGCATATGTCTTCTACTTCTGAGGAGAGGATCTGACATTCATAAACAGGACAAACATGGCTTCACAGCTCTAGTAAATGTAAAGGTATGTTTCAAATGTCCTTCAAGGCTGTTAATCGTTAGAGCTGTTGGCACCATTCGGTTTTAAACAGATTGCGTGTTAACATCCATGCTTATCAAACATGATGAAATCTATTTCAGCACACACACATTGAAGTAAAATTGACAGTAACAATTGTATCGATTGTCCGCAGATAAAAGCGTCATTCAGACGAAATTCAGGGTGGTTACATTGGCAATGACGTTTTGCCAGTTGGATCATTTTTGCCAGTAAATCATCACGTTCATGGTGAATACAATTACAGTTCATTTAGGTTTATACATGTTCTTAATATTAACGTCTCCTTGAACAACTATTTTGGCAGCAGGGGTGCATGATACTGGGCTATACTATTGTATGAAAATGTAAATTAATTTGGAACTCTTACATCTCTAATAAAATGAAGCTTGTTTGTATAACATCATTTATTCAACAAATCACAAAAAGAATGACAAGAAATGACTGATGTGTTTATTGTTGCAGGTTTTACTGGATTCTGTCAACAGTGCAATGGAAGGAATACAAACAATATGTGATGAGGTTTCAGCGCTGATACAAAACAACAGTGTAGTTCATGATCTGCTCAAAGAAAGTGATATTGCAGAGACTGATATATTTGGAAGAACAGCTCTTCATTACTTGTGTCTGAGTGAGCACCCTCACCAGGCTGATTTCCAACTGGTACCATGCAATACTGACGTCAACAAAGCTGACAAGTGGGGTAGTACAGCCCTTCACAATCTGTGTAGGAGATATGACATTCAGCGGTTACCTAATTTGATACAATTACTTCAGATTCTGTTGGAATCAGGAGCTGACATAAACACGAAAGATGAGTATGGATACAGTTCTCTGTATTACTTACGTGAAATCATGAACGTCGAACTCCTAGGCATACTGATGTCACACTGCACACAGCTAAACGAAGACAACGGGGATGGCCTCACTCTCCTGCACTATCTCTGTGCGACAGGATCAAGAGAATGCCTAGAGATGCTCCTTGATTATGTCGATGATTTGGACAAAGAAGTGAGCCAGAATGTCACAAGCACAAGCGGTAATTGTGTTTTCGTTCAGGGTTTGACGGTCCTCCCGATTGCATGCATGACAAAAGGTGTTGACAAAAGTCTTATTGAGATGATTTTGCAAAAAGGAGCTGATGTTAACACTGCTGACGTCCTAGGAAAAACGCCATTGCATTACATTTGCGAACGATCATTGGTGTTCAGGTGGAACAGAGCTTGGTCCAATAAGGCTTTGACATGGCTAAGTACAAACAACGTCATCGTGTACTCCTTCTTGTTGGCACGGGGAGCAGAAGCACAGAAAAAAGACAACCGCCACCGTCCCCCAAATGCATCCATTTTACAAAATCGATGTAAATTTCACGTTTGTTAATATTTGAAATATAACTGTTTCTTTCTTTTTTATTTAACGCCACACTCAGCAATATTCCAGCTATATGACGGCGGTCTGAAAATAAACAAATCTGAACCAGACAATCCAGTAATTGACACCATGAGCATCGATCCACGCAATTGGGAAACGATAACATGCATCAACCAAGTCAGTAAACCTGACCACCCGATCCCGTCAGTCGCCTCTGACGACAAGCATTGGTTGCTGAATCCCAATTCTAACCCGGATTCTTCAGGAGTCATTTGAAATATAAAGTCGTAATGAGCGGCTTTGTTACAATAACGAAAATCGTAAATTTACTGAGTTCTTAGAACAATTTAATATGCACAGTAGTTTAGTTTTTCATATTTCCAGGATGGTGTGTTTTTACTGAAGTTAAACAGTTTACTCGCTTTTATTATCACTGATTGGTCGGTTGATATACATGTTACCATGATGTATGAATGTTCAAATTGAAAACAGGAGAATCTATTTCAGACTACCTTCTATTTCAACACAGTTTATGTAATGTTATTAACATTGAAACAATGTCACCAGGTAACGGTCAAAATATCGACCATTTTGGATTTCGGAAAATGAGTCGGTCCTATCTACCCATTCGCTCAACTGAATATACAAAACTGATTTTTTTAAAATAACACATGCCGCTTCTCATTCATAGCTAGAAGAAACAGAAAATACAATTTAATATTTCTCCCCATTGGTGCATTTCTTCCCAGCAGGATGAAGAGGAGGCACTGACATTATCTGAGAATGACGCAAAGGAATATGACTTCCTTCTTAATGAAGAGGAATTTAAATACGTGACAAAGATGCTAAAAAAAATAGCAGAAGAAAGGATATCTGAACCCAAATTTATTTGGGGTGACGTGGATACATTCTAAGATGAACAAATCTGATGAAAAGTGGAGGCAAAAAATGTACAGTAAACTACAGTTATAACAAACTCAAAGGGATTAACAATTTTAGTTCGTTATAACCGTCAGTTCGTTATAAGCGTGTTCGTTATAACCGTAGTTTACTGTAATGTTGCAAACAACGCCGCCATGTACTGCTTGCTTTAGAAACTGCGTAAACTCCATTTGCTAAATGTGTAGTATAGAGTATACCATTTGGTGTATAAACAAAAATGTAAATTCATTTTTGGGCATTGTACAGAAATATCTAAATCTGAGTACAGACAATGTCTTTGAAACACCTTTTTTCTAGACATGTATAAGTTGTACTTTTATTTGGTGTGATTTTAGAAACCCTACAATGATGATGTTGGTGTCTTGAAACAAATTCTTGTTAATATGGGGGGGGGGGGGGGGGGGGGGGGGGGGCGATTCGTTGTGCAGGTTTGCGTCCCTTGGGCACCCTCAGAAACCTATGATTGTGGGTTCGAATCCCGGTTCGCCCCGATTATGTTTCTAGGTTTGTCAGCACCATACCCGAGCTCGTGGGTTTCACCGAAGTGGTAAACGTCTGAGACCTGCATCACTTCGGGCTTTTCTCCCACATCAAGCTGACACGCCGCGATACTGGAATACTGTTAAAAGCGGTGTTAAACCAAACTCGCTCACTCACTCAAGAGGTATTTCCAAGAGATGAATACATATGCGTTCGTCATGCATGAACACAAAGAACCTGAACCGTTTACTAGTTGTATATTATGCCTAATGTTTGTTTTATAACGCAGTGGACATGTACAAAGTTTTGTAGTCCATGTTGTGTCACAATCTGTCTTCAACATTATACATTGTAGCTTCTGAAAAAAGATTGATGGATTGCTGCCGAAATGCGGCCACATATGTGTAATTCTTTGTTGATAAGCATGTAGACCTTACAGACGGGTTGAACTGATCAATGTTACAGTTAATGTGTAAAATTAGTCATTTTTTAAAATGACTGACAGTTTTACTTAGGCAACTTTACAAAACTCAGTCGTCCTACATTTTCCCCCCGTCAGATTGATTTAAAGTCACCCAGAAGTTCGAAAGATCTTAAAACATTACAATATACTCATTATGCTAGGATGAGAATGTAAAAAATATAATTTGAAAATATACACTGACGATCGATTTCTTTTAATCCCATTATTTTTAGTCACTGGGTGATGAAATAAAGTATAAAAATGAAATTCGTTATCATGATAAAATAAATGGAAAAATAATTGTGAAATGACATTATTTTGGTGTACATATATATCATATATAACATATAGAAACAAATGCATGCCCTTAAATTCTCAAAAATTGAATTTTGCATTGCACGGAGAAGGACAGAAGAAGGAATTGTAATGAAATTAGTTTACATTAAATGACTTTAGAAACTATGAAAACTCCATTTGTTCAATATATTTTCAAAGTTGTAGATACAAATTATGTTGTACAAAATCCTAGTAATTTTCATCCAATACGATCGTGGGAACATTAAATGTGCAGATTGTTTCATGTTGCATGGCATGACAAGTTAGAAGGGCAAGTTCACCAGTTTTACCAAGTTGCCAAACGTGGATGTTACATTTGACGCGAGGTAAAAATGCATTGTTCACAGAATATTGCACAACACGTTTTTAGAATGGTTCCTGCAAGAACAAAGTAGGATCATTAGTGGTCATTATTCAGGTTATGTGTAAGCATAGGTGTACATCATTATTAATTTCTAATACACTGCTACTTCCACGGTCATGAAAATCAATGCTGACATTCGTTGACCATTCAGTAGCAGAGCTACAGTGTTTTTTACGCTATTTCTTAAGGAATTGCTCTTTGGTACATGATAAAACAACATGACGTGACATGGACATATTTAATATATATTGTTATACACTGTTACATGTTCAAGGATGGTAAATTTAAACATGTTTTGTTCAGATCATCTGGTGAATTGAGGTGTTATTGATATGTATCACGTTTACGATTATTGATCGACGTGCATGCACGTGTGTGTGTACGTATGTGTGGCTGCTTGTACTAGTCCGGAATAATGCCTATTTTATAGTATAAGTCCACTGAGATACAGTGCAGCAGTTTTAACATGAATAACCCACTCAGACACAGTATACTGACTCCGAGCCGACCAGTCATTGTTTTAGCCCCTTAATGCCGAGCGCCAGACAGGGTAACAACAAGTACCATCTTTTAACGTCTATTGGTGTGACGCGGCCGGGGATCCAATTCCCGACCTTACGCTGTCTAGGCAGATGCTCTTCCACTAGACCACGGAGGCGGTCTCAGATCATCTGATTTGCATTTGCCAAAATTATCTTTCATTCATGCATGATGGTAATATTTTTTTTATCAGTCGCTTTCGTGTTCTTTGGATGATACATTTTTGGGAAAATAGCAAATAACTATATAATGTGTAATGTTCAAACAAGGAAACATTGCGTATAGCCTACAAAGTACAGGAGAAGAATGCAAAAAAATAACACTGTCATTGCAATTTAATTGTTATTTGTAAGTGTCTCCATAATCTGATCACAGAGACATTGATCATCACTTCTTAGAGTGCTGTCACAAGCAGAACTATTAAAACTTTGTGTTACATAGGTCCTCTGAATACTAAAGCTAGTTGATATAATGTTTATGATTTCTGTATATAAAATTACCATTCTGCTACGTGGCGCATGTGGTGTAATAGATCCAATACATTAATACATATATGTTGCATACGATGTTTATGGAATCAAGGTATAGTTACACCATATGTGACATCCATTGTAAATAGTGTCAACATGACTGTAAGATAAGCACTGATTAGCTAAAATCAAACAGAAATATATTATAAAACTCATTGTTTCCTTATTAGAAAATAATACTTATTTACAAAACCAATACAAAGCTTTGTTTCACAGTTAAATGTATGATACAACACAACATTGATTACTAGCATTAGACCTTGAATGTTCGTTGTTAGAAATGGTTGGCCAGACTTTCTTGTTGGAGATGACAGTGTAGTGAGAAAGCATGTGAGGTGAGGTGAGGTGAAATAGGGTTTAACGTCGCGTCCAAGATTATTGCACTTATAAAGCGACGTGCATGTACGTGTGTGTTTGTGTGGCTGCTTGTACTAGTCCGGACTGATGCCGATTTATAGTGCTAGTTCACAGAGATACAATGCCGCACTTAAACATGAATACCCCACTCAGACACAGTATACTGACTCCGAGCCGACCAGTCCGTGTTTTAGCCCCTTAATGCCGAGCGCCAGACAGGGTAACAACAAGTACCATCTTTTAACGTCTTTTGGTATGACGCGGTCAGGGATCGAAACCCGGACCTTCCGCTCTCCGGGCGGACGATCTACCACTAGACCACGGAGGCGGTCGAAGTGAGAAAGGTCGTCCCGACATACATGACATGATGAACCAGTTAGTGATGAGAACATGATTGACAAGGTTTTATCTCCTAGGAGTTTTGATATGCTTAATTATGTTATACAAATTTATTCACTACAATGTATTTTTATGGGGTCATTCCTGTGTAAGATCATATATTATCTTCACGGATATTCAGAACAACTAATGCTGTGCACAAGTTACTGACATTATATTATATACATTATATACTGTCATAGTTATGATTTAATGTATGTTGAACACAATATATTTCATTATGTACATAGTTCACAACTATAAATATAACAAAACATGTCCATTCAAAATCTATTTAGAGAGAGATTTGACATATAGTTGTTGAGTGAGTGAGTGAGTATGGTTTTACGACGCTTTTAGCAATATTCCAGCAATATCACGTCGGGGGACACCAGAAATGGGATTCGAACCCGGGTCTTCGGCGTGACGAGCGAACGCTTTAACCGCTAGGCTACCCGACCGCCCCCATATAGTTGTTGACCAAGTATAGAACATATTAAACTGAAAACACAAAAACATATCCATGTTGACAAAAAAACAAACCACAAAACCGCTGTGTTGCGATATTTCAATGAATGGGTTTGTTTGTACATAAGTGTGTGTAAATAGACCTCAAATG